AGGCATCATTGATAACCTTCAATCCTTCTTGAACAATTAAATTTAAAATGTGTAAAGAAGATCACACTTTAAAGAACTCTACATCACAAAACATCTTTTGTAAGGTTAGTTGACTTTTCAAATGTTATTGCATAACATCATTATCAAATGAATTATCCAAAGACAAAATATTTTTTTCTCTATTCTCCAATCAATTAAAAATTTATGAATAATTTTAGACAACTCAAATATAGTGTGAGAAGGAAACATATGACAAAAATTAAGAATTTTACTCTCTAATTTTCAATTTGAGTCAATAAAATGAGCAATCAAATATATGTAACCCTAAGTAATTCAAGCAGTCCATAAAAAAAGAAGTTAAAAATATTCTTGAAAGAATGATACACATTTTTTGTTTAAGTTTCTCCTTTTCTCTGATGTACATCTTCAATACATTAAATCTAATAGTTTTATGAGAAACGACTGGATTCATACATTACATCCAAGTCCTAATCTTTCTAAGCTCAACAAAATTAAAAGGCAACTCATGCTCAAACATTGCAATTGTTAACATATCACATGAAATCATTTGATTTACCTTATGAGATTTTAGTTTTTCTTGCATGTTTAGCGTCATTTGACCAACATCTTAAAATTTAATCTCCTTATACATTGTAACATGACGATATAAAGGTGATGTTCCATACTTTTTACCCCAACATTTATACTCATTTCTGTAACTATTATATTTCTCCCTTTTAATTCCATCATCACATAATCCTATCTTAATGAAAAATTTTCAACTATCAAATGTTATTGATTTAACTCTTTTCTTAATATTACCAAATTCAGATATAGTATAGTTCATATTATTATCACTAAAAGCAAGATTATTAGAGCTTTCAATGTCTATGTCACAAGAATGAAAATTGAAAATAAAAATAAAATTAAAATTTACTACAAATTAGAAACAACATAATTACAAAAATATAATAAAATCCATAATACAATTAATCATACGTGGGGTCAACTAATATAATTTGAGACATGCGTATAAGATAGTGATGTGAAGTAGCATTTGAAAACTAAAATCCATTTTGATCATTCACAGGCAAATAGAAATAAGTAAACCCTGTCATTTATTTATACCAACTAAAAGGTTGTAGTCTCTAATCTATATTCTTGCATCTTTTGGTCAGTTGTTCAAAATTCTATATCACATTCATGCGAGAAGCACAACACGTCTAAGTCTCATTAATTTAAAAAAATAATAAGAAAAGAAAAAATAACGAAAACTTTGGTTTCAATGACAAGAAATGCAAAAAATATGGTATTTTGTTTATTATTTGCAGAGTTTGATCTTAAAAGGTTTAGGAAAAGAAAAAATAAAAAATAAAAAAGATGAATTGAAAGGAGCGTGGATGTGCAACGTGTGGACATGTAGATTAGATCAGAAAAGAGGAAATGAAAGAAAAAATTTGCATACCAGAGTAAAGAAAAAATTTAATAAATAAAAAATATTTATTAAAATTATTAAAGTTATATTATCAATTTATATTTTATATAGGATTAGGATATATTGATTTTATATTTTACAAATTAGTAATCTAAAAATTAAAAAGTTACATGTTGTTTGACTAAAATACAAATGCTTAAAAAAAAGTAATTTTTTTAATGATTAAATTATTGATTTGTATGATTGAGATTTAATATAAGTCTGATGTCAATGCATCTTATCTTTTATATATATATATATTATAAATATTTAACTACCAGTAAAATAATAAATTATAATCTGTTATATACAAATTAAATTAAAAGTTTAAATTTTATGTAAAAGTTTTTAAACTTACATTAGTAAGAAAATTCTTCCTTATATATATATATATATAGAGCAGTTGGGTTTGATTTCAAAAATTAAGAACGGTAGTCTCTCGAGTTGAGTGGGGGCGAGATTGAATGAATTGAAAGTGTAAAAGATAAAGATGAAGCATCGGAGATCAAATTCACTTGCACCACTCGCAAAGGCGTCGGCTGCTTGCCCACCCGTAAAAATGAGTACCAAAACCATATATTAAATTTGAGAATGTGCATTAATAAGAATGCACAACTCAAGCTGGCCAGAGTCAGAAGCATGTGACAGCATATATATTTATTATACATAAATCATATCTTAATTTTACTCTAAATTTATAAACATTTAAAATATAAATATTTCCCAATAAATAGAGCATAAAAATGAATTTAGTTAGCAAATTATTTTGGTATTGCTCACCACATTGATACTCTTCTGTGATGGAGGTTTACAATATGGTGATTGAATAACAAGTGTGTGTTCATATAAAACATATGAAGCAACTCAAATTGAGCTATGGAAAAGTTTTTAAACTCAAGTTTAAATATGTAAATATAATTTTAAATTTGTATTAATATATTTGGCAGTTTTATAATGTAGTTGATTTTTCTTTAAATTTGTATTTAAGTCAACATCATGAATACTAACTTTTTTGTTAAATTAACCAATTTATAGTAAATTTTGCTACATACTTGTATTTTAAATAAAAGAAACTCAAACATAAATCATATCGAGTTTGTTCAAATTTAAATTTATAAATTTTCATCCAAATACACACTAAATATAAAAGTGTATATTTAACTTTTATTGAAGAGGCTGAAAGTGTTATTAGACATAAGACATAATAAATGAGATATAAAAATGTTAATTTTAATCATAAAGTATTTATAATTATTAACATAACTTTTTGTATTTTTTTTATTAAAACAATAAAACTATTATGAACAAGTATTTAATATAATTATATTTATTAAAATTTAAATTTGATATCACATATTAAATTAGAATAATTTATTAATAATTGACCTACGTGAACACTTTAAAATTTTTAAATTCATTAATTAAATAAAATATTTTTTAATAAAGAATATTTGATTTAAATAATTTTATAGTCTCTTTTTTTTTAATCTTTATCTATTATTTTAACTTTCACCTTTTTAAAAACTTTTTTAGTCATTGTTTAACATTTTTTTTACAACTTCCTTTATTACTATCAAAGCAACTACTGTATTGCTAACTTGACTTTACTCCATCATTGGAATGGATAGAAACATTAGCTTGCCCAAAGAAAGGAAAAAGAAAAAAAAAATTAACGAGAAAAAACAAAAAGAAAAGACAAGTAATTTCTTTTCTAATTTTTAAGAAGATTGGAAAAAATAGAGAAGCACAGTGAAAAAAATAAAGTTAAAATATTAAATTAAAAAATTTAACAGACTAAATCGTAAATAAAAAAAATAAAAGAATCAAAATTTAAAACTAAAATTAAATTCAAACAAAAAAATAAATAAAATTAAAGAATTAGAGTAGTAATTTTTATTTTCATTTTTAATCTTTGTCTATTTGTTTTTAAGTGTCTTTCATTCTATAATTAGTAAATTTGTCGTTCATATATTACTCAATTAAAATCATCATTTTAAATAAAAAGATTAAATTTCATTACACAATTATTTTAAAAATTTAATACTTTATTAAAAATATACATGAAATATTTTTTAATCAACTTATATAATAATATTTTTAATTAATATACTTATATATATTAATATGTTAAATTATATTTAACATATTATATTTATTTATATATGAGAGTTGATTAATAAATTATAATAAAAAATAAGAATTATTTTCACTAATAAAATTATCACATATATATATTCTCAATCACTGAACGTTAACATCAATTGTGAACGTCAATAAATTTAATATATATATATATATATATATAATTTTCATCTTCGTTTTTCAAGGGCAAGTGTTAAAATTATTTATGAATTTAAAAATAACTTGACGGGTTTTTAAATACATATTACTTGGATATAACAGTCGTAAAATAGAGATGACGAATTCAAAAAATTACAGTAATAACTAAGTGATTACCATCGTTTCAAAATATTTTATTATTTTAATTTAAAATATTATTTTTCGATGAAATTAATAATTTCAATATGTTAAATAAAATTCTTAAATTCAATTGATAATAAATATATAAAAATACAATATATTTTTTTAATGATTAATAAATTTTATGTGATATGAAAATATTATTAAATTAATTTTTAAAACAAAAAATATTTAAATATATTATATAACTATTTTTAAATTAAATAAAATTTAAAAGTAATAAATAAATTTTTATATTAAAAAAGAATAAATTGAAGAGATATAAATTCAAAAATAAATTATATAAATTTAAATTAAGATAAAAAATTCAACGCAGGAGAAGTAGTTTAAACTTATGGAAACAAACAGGTAACTTTAAAATTATATTTATAACTAGTTTAGTAACGTTATGCGTACTTTATTTTAAAATAAATAATATAATTTAATAATTAAATAATAAAATTATAAATATTATATAGGTATTTATATTAAATATAAAAGTTTATAAAAAAATTATTAAATGTTTCACTTTGGAAGACTCTTCTATAATATAGATATTAATTTAATAACTGTAGATGTATATTTTTTTAAGAGAAATTAAAACTATATTTTAAAAGTATACTACAATTTAATACAAAAAAAATTAAAGAATCTAAATTATAGATGTAACTTGTTTTATAAATGCTTTTCCTCTTGTTAGTTAACTTATCCTATACTATATGCATTATTAGATTCAATTTAAACTAATATCATGTAATAAAATATAAATCAAATAAACAAAACATTATTACATGTTTAGTTTATTCTGTTTTAAAAAATGCTTATTTAACTATTTTTTGAACTTTTAAAAAAAGTATTTCCATGGAAGCATTAAAAATTTGTTATTTCGTTAGAATATCAATACTCATTAAAAAAAGATGGGCACTGAGAAATGGTCACCGCGTCCCTTCTGTGTATATCTGCAATGAAGGAGCTAGATTGATTTTTTCTCGTTTGACTAAAAGCAGAAATAAATAATATTATTAATAATAAAAAATAAAAAAACTAATTTCAGCAGAAACAAAAACGGAAATGACGGTGGGTGCAACTGGTGGAGAGAGAGAGAAAGAGACAGAGAAAGGAAGAAAGAACCGTCTTTTTTTTTTTTGCAAAAGAGAGTTCAACAACTTGAAGTACAAGTTGATTCACACTGTGGGGTGAAACTAACGTTAGTGCGTGATACCCAGAGAAGAAAAAACAACTGGGCTTATTTCCTTTTTTTCTCAAACCTCTGGTTTTGGATGCAAAATTTGGTCTTTATTTTGATCTCTTTTTGAACCGTAGCTGCATCTTTTGAACTGAGAGAGCAATGGGTAAGAGAAAGTTTTGTTTTTTATTAGTTTGTTTGCTTCATTGGGTGGCTAGATTCAGTTTCATATTCTGTCTGTTTTTGCTGTGTTTGTGATTCTCTTTGTGGGTTTTTATGTTTTTTTGGTTTGGTTTGGTTTACTTCATTGTGAAGCTCAAATATTGTAGGCAGAACCCTAGATTGATTATCTTGGGTTTAGGAATTGAAATGGAGTTTAAAGGGTTCTGATTGTGTTTCTGGTTGAATCTAGATTTTGACCAAATTTGCTAAATTTATGTTATTTATTTATTTTCATTGGTTTTTCATTTCTTATTTTGGATAGGTAATGGTCTTTTGCTTAAATGCTTCTTGAAACTGTGTTTGAATGTTGGCTAATATACCCTGAATGCAATGGACTTGTTAGTTTTCTTGCTTTTAAGATCATCAAAAGCTCGTGACATTTTGTCGAATGCAACTCTTGAAAACATCTTTACACTGATTGAATGAAGAGCTTACATGTTTCCAATGTGATTGTCATGAATGTAATTAATTTATGAACTTACTCAGACATTCTTAAGATTGTGTGATCTAAGTGATGTATTGTCATTGAAGTCATGCCCCAGAGACATAACAGCCCCTTGTTAGCCATGGAAAGGCATTAGATTTGTCCATTAAATATCATCTTTTTGATGCACCAGATCCATTATTCATCATCAAAGTAGTTAATTGCATAAAATATTGTTAACATTAATTTAGCCTAAAGTGCTGCCATTGCCATTATTTAGGCTTTTATAGTTCTCTTTGTAGCTTAGCATATATTGTTGCCGAGTGTCATATATTTGTTTCCATCCACTGTGACATCTTATTTCATGTTAATTTATTTCTAAAAATTTTACTGATTCTATTGTGTTTACAGCGAAATTCCCTTAGCTTTAGTATGCATTTTGGCAGAAGAGTACAAATTTCTTGAGAGTTTCCAAGATTGCAAATGCTTCATCAAATTTCTATATGGTGACTAAAACTGCCAGCTACTAAAAGTGTAGAACTTCTTTTTGACTCAGATTTTTAATGAATTCATATTTTAAAAAGAAAATGATGGTGTGATGAAACAATCAAGATTTGAAAGGCCAATTCTTTGCAATAACATGGAACCTAGAAATGAAGAATACCACCCTGGGTCACAGCCAGTAATGCAGGACCATCTGGATGGCATGCATACCGGTAGAAGACAACCTGACCTTAATTCATCAGATGTTAAACCTGTACTTAATTACTCCATACAGACTGGTGAGGAATTTGCTCTTGAATTTATGAGAGATAGGGTGAATCTCAGGAAGCCAGTTTTATCAAATGTCAGCGATTCCAATTATACTACAGGTTATATGGAACTGAAAGGCATTTTAGGCATCAGTCATGCAGGATCTGAAAGTGGATCAGATATTTCTATGCTCTCAATGGCTGAGAAATATCCAAAAGAGATTGATAGAATGAATACATCATTACATGGAGACAGAAGCAACTATGGGTCAATTCGATCAATGCCAAGAACTTCATTGCATCAGGACAATAGACAATTTGTGCATGGGTATGGCTCTTTAGGAGGTTATGATAGATCAATGATGATGAAGTTTCTTTGCAGCTTTGGGGGTAGAATATTGCCACGACCTTGTGATGGAAAGCTAAGGTATGTTGGAGGTCAAACCCGTATTCTTCGAATAAGAAAGAACATATCTTGGCTGGAGCTCATGCAGAAAGCATTACTAATTTATAATCAGGTTCATTCAATCAAGTATCAGCTTCCTGGGGAAGATCTTGATGCTTTGGTATCTGTGTCGTCTGATGAGGATTTGCAAAATATGATGGAGGAATGTAAGCATCTAGAAGATAGAGAAAGATCACAAAAGCTTCGCATGTTTTTATTCTCAATGAGTGATTTAGAGGATGCTCAGTTTGGTCTCAGCAGCATGGGCGATGATTCGGAGATCCAGTATGTTGTTGCTGTTAATGGCATGGACTTGGAATCAAGAAAAAACTCAACCATGATTGGTGTCAGCTTTTCAGCAAACAATATAAATGAATTGGACAGGCAAAACATTGACAGCGTAGCTAGCAGAGTTGCTGTTGAATCTATTGCACAAGTCAGTGCTCCCCTGACTAACAATTTTGACTCATCATTTGCTGCTCAGTCTTCTCCACTAGTGGTACCGGTTTCCTTGAATGCTTATGAAACATATCCACTGTTTTATGGCGATCAAATGATGCGCCATGGGGAACCCAGTGATCAATATCTTATTAATCATGGCCACCATCCTTCTCACAAACCTGTTATTGGAGAGACTCCTATCACTATGCCTCCTCATATACTAATTAATCAACAAGGGGTTTTCAATGAAGGCCTTCCACCTCGTGGACTACAAGTACAAAATTCAGAATTTCCAGCAACATTGGCAAACAAGATGGTTGATGGTTCAATTCACCACGGAAGTGACCCTGGGAAAGCTTTATCCTTGGAAACACCATCTCCAGCTCCCACACAACTTTTTAACAGTTACATGAAAAATAATTTTACTGAAGCATCAGTTATAGTTACTGCACCAGAGGGGCATTCATTCCCTCCAACAAAAATGGACCCTCTCCAGAATTATGAAGAGACTTCTTCTACATCTAGCAATGCTTTCGGTCCTGCTTATGTTGAATCCCACTCCAATGCAGTTGATTTGAGTTGTCTTCACCCTCCTCCCCTTCCTAAAAGAGTTTACTGTTCAGAGAGAATTCCAAGGGAGCAAGTAGAGTTGCTGAATCGGTCCTCAAAGTCAGATGATGCACACGGTTCTCAGTTTCATGTTTCGGATTTACTTTCTAATGTCAACCAACCAGATTCAGTTGCAGAATCTGGTGACAAGTTGCATGATGGTCATCCGTCTAATCTAACTGAGGAATTAAATAGTGCAGCAAAGCCCTTGCATGCAGATGGCTATGTCGTTGATAATGGGGCTGTGAAACATCAAATATACAAACAGTTGCCTGATTCAAGCAGTCAGATGAAACCAAAGCTAGCTGAGCATGTGAATCCTGAGTTGAAACAGGTATTATCTGACAATGAAGGAAGTAAAGATGTGTTAAATAAGGATAATATTGTTAGGATGGAAACAGAAATTAATCATAAAGATAACTATAACAAAGCCCTGATTGATGAGACAAAAGACAGTAAATCAGACTTTCCTACTTCGCACCAGGTTTCATCTATTAAGCACCACGATGATCCGGCATCCAATCTTCCAGAGATTGATTGGGGTGATGCCTCTGTGAAGGAGTCTAATGACGATTTTAATGTGCAAGCACTACCTGTTTCTTCAAATGGGAATACAACTACAAAAGATGATTCTGAAGAATTTCCTTCAAATGTTGTTTCTGAAAAAGTACATGGTGACATTCTGATTGATATTAATGATCGATTCCCCCGTGAATTTTTCACTGATATGTTCTCCAAAGCAATACTTGAAGAAGATCCCTCTACTCTACATCCTTTAACCTCAGATGTAGTGGGCTTAAGTATAAACATGGAAAATCATGAACCTAAACATTGGTCGTATTTTCACAAATTGGCTCAAGATGGGATTGATAATATGTCACTTATTGACCAGGATCATGTTGGTTATTCACCTGCAATAGGAAAGGTGGTTGGAGATAATAGGGCTCAACATGTTACACCTTTAACAACTGATGAAGCTTCTCTGAACCATGCAGAGTCCCACCTAAATTTTGTTGAAGAAAATGAAAGAGACTTACTTAAAAGGATTGAAACAGACACCACTGTTCCGAAGTCAAATTATGATCATTCCCAAGTGAATGACACTGAAAGTATGCAATTTGATGCTATGATGGAAAACCTAAGAGCACAAGAGTCAGAATATGAGGTATGATTCTAGTTTTTTTTTTTTTTTTTTTTTCATGGGTTCAAGATTCTGTATAAATATGGTTATCTGCTGACAGAAGTTCTTGTCACTTTAACTTAGGTTGGGAAGATTGAAAAGAGAAATAGCAATCTACCTCCTCTTGATCCTTCTATAGGAGATTTTGATGCAAGCACCTTGCAGGTACGATGCTCATTCTTGTGTGTGCAATATTTCTTCTGTGCTACAACTGCAATTTTTTTATTCTGTAGGGAGGGGAATTAAAGAGGATTTTGGTACTGGTTATATGACTTTCGTAAATGGTTTGTTGTCGTGTGTATAAATGAATGCTAATGAGCTTAGGATTGACCAATTGAGATGAGATATTGTACTGGTCTGGTTCTTAATTGTTTATTTAATTATTGAGGTTTGATTAAGTTGACTTCAAAAGTATAAGTTTGCAGTAGATTCCTTAGCTGGCATTTTACTGGTGAACACGATATGATCATGTTAATCTATTCCTACCCTCGTTTCTCTTAAATCTATCAAGGCTGCAGAGGCTGCTATAATAGCAGTTAGAATTCCGCAATGCTCATTGTGCTACATTGTATCTCTTATATTTTAAAGAATGTCATTCTGAAATTCTTCATTATAGGCTTAACACTCCATTGGCCATGGCCTTTTGTTCTCCCATTGGATCAGTAGCAGTTAATTTCTACTTATTTTAATTGTCTTGAAGTTTCCTTCCCAAAACATGATGTATAAGCATCAAATTTTACTCTTAATACAATAATATGTCTGGGAATACATCATATTTTACAATCTGGTACAAGCTGTCTTGTGTTGAACCAAAAGGGATGATGAAGTCTGGTCACTAGATCAGTCAAATTTCCTTTTGATATGGATTCAAGTATAAAATTGCAATGGAAAAATGACTAAGAATGCCAAGCCAGACATGGGCAATGCATGGAGACTCGGGCATTGCTCTCTGGATTGCAGATGTCTGCTGCTTATGTTACCACATTTTCTAGAGGAATTAGCTGTCATGATTTCTTTATTTTCTGGATGGAAAAATTAGATGATATTATTTATAAATTGGGTGTTCTCTCTCCCTCCCTCTCTTGTGTTTAAAATTAAAACCAATGGGGTGCTTTTTGGGGCAAAAGCTCTACAATTTTAAATTAGGTATGTATCTAGAGTAAATAGTCAAATACTTTGTCTACTATCATTCTCTCTGTTTTCTCTGCAGTTCATACTTCCTAAATTTCTTTTTGGGGCAAGCTTTGTCCTTTGAAATTGCTTCAAAAGAAACCTTACAACAGTTGCTTGGGAACCTACTTTAAATTGTTCTTGTCATCAATGTTATGAGCACAGAAACTGTTCGATATAGTTGAGTTGCGACAGACCTGATTATTAAATTTCAGCAATTTCAACATGTGGTAGCTGCTATACAGCCTGTGTAATCATTAAAATTTTTTGGTAGTGTTTCTTTGACATGATCTCTAGCGTAACATGTAGAATAACAATGCCTTTTTTGGACAATTCAAGCAAGTTCTTAGTTCATTGTATGCATCTTGGACATTTTTTCCTTCTCTCTATTTGACTGTGAAGCTTGTGCTTTCTTTCTTCTTCACAAAAGCTAATGGGCTTCAGACATGTATTCATTGTTTTCATTTCTTTAATCCATTACTTTCATTGTTCTAATGAAATTTGCAGGTCATAATGAATGAAGATCTTGAAGAGCTGAAGGAACTGGGTTCTGGTACTTTTGGTACTGTATATCATGGAAAATGGCGAGGGACAGATGTTGCCATTAAAAGAATAAAGAAAATTTGTTTCACTGGTCGATCATCTGAGCAAGAGAGACTGGTAACTTATAATTTAATTCTTATTTGAATTTTGACAGCATTGAACTATCTTTTTATCATTTAAATTGTGTCCTACCTTTTTTTCACTTTTACTTTTTCCTTCTTAGTACACTTACTTGAGAGTGCTTCAATGATAGTGATATGTGCTTCTTTTCTCGGACTATATAAGTTAATTTTGACGCATGTGAGATGAATGATATTTGCTTCTTTTCTCAGACTATAGAATTCTGGCGGGAAGCTGAAATTCTTTCCAAGCTTCATCATCCAAATGTGGTGGCCTTTTATGGCGTTGTGGAGGATGGTCCAGGAGGAACGATGGCCACTGTTACAGAGTACATGGTGGATGGCTCTCTTAGGCAAGTATTACTTCGCAAAGACAGGTAATGCACTGGTAAAACACTCTTAAATCTCTCTCACTTTTATTATTCAACCATTGGCCTCAGAATTTTGTTTGTTTAGATCAAGGCTTACTACTGCCTTTTATTTGATGAAGTGATAGTCATGCCCTTATAACAATTCCTGTCTCATGAAATGCATGATATATATTTTTCTTTTTTTGTTAGTTTTTATAGTTTTTGTAGCTTCTTAAGTCATGTAAAAATTATCAAGTCATACTGAATGTTTGGTGTTGAATTTAATGTTTTACTGATGGATCTGGCTTTCAATGTAGGTATCTTGATCGTCGCAAGAGACTGATAATTGCAATGGATGCAGCTTTTGGAATGGAATATTTGCACTCAAAAAATATAGTACATTTTGACTTAAAATGTGACAATTTGCTTGTGAACTTGAAAGATCCTATACGACCAATATGCAAGGTATATAGGCTGGGATTTTACTCCAATCCTTGATGAACATGAAATGTTCTGCACCTAATGTAGATGTTGAAAAGACTAAGAAATTTGCTTTTCCAGGTTGGTGATTTTGGCTTGTCAAAAATTAAACGAAATACCTTGGTTTCTGGTGGTGTGCGTGGGACTCTTCCTTGGATGGCACCAGAGCTTCTGAATGGTAGCAGCAACAAGGTCTCAGAAAAGGTAGAATTTTACTTTGTCTGAATGAAATGCTTCTACTATGATCTCATCGTTTTAATTTAACTGTGAAGCTGAGTGAGTTGTATTGATTTCCCTTAAGAATGTTAAAAAAGCCTTCATCTAACCAAGCAAAAGTCTCTTTATCTAGTTATAGTACTAAGGACTTCCTTTGAGCTGCTCACCTTGGAGCAAAATTTATGTGAACTTACTTTTGTTTGAGCATTTTAAACAAAATTTTCCCTTTTTTTTTGTGTGTGTTTTTCAAATATTCTGTTCATAAGAGATAGTTGGAACTTTCACTTCTCAATAAATTTTGGAATGGAATGTCTGCAAATTGAAGCATTTCAGTTTGTCACCTTATAACCTTTATCTCTGTATTTTTTTTCCACCTTGTAGCTTGGATTTATCATTTGCTGAAATTGAATTTTAATTTGTAGGTTGATGTGTTCTCCTTTGGCATAGTATTATGGGAAATTCTAACTGGTGAGGAACCATATGCCAATATGCACTATGGTGCGATCATAGGTACAGTCTGTTTCTTCTTTTCTTTTTCATGCCTGTGGCTCTTGAAACTATATTTTTGTTGCATCCTCAAAATTAGTTTCTACTTTTTATTGAAGTAAAACTCATGATAAAGATCATTTCTAAAATTTTGATTTTTGACTAAGCCTTTGTAGTGTCATGTGATCCATGTAACCAATCGCATGTAGTGGGATCTTTGTTGTCGTTGTTCTCATTATGCAATTTGAGTAAATTTCTAGAGAAGGCTTATAAGAGAAAAAAAAAAGAGTATAAAAAATGAATAAAACTTCTCGTAAGTTATAAACAACTTGTAATTCTTTATTTTTTGAGAAGTTCGCTCATTTTATTTTTTAAAAATTTGAGAAGATAAGTTATTTCTAATTTATGAGAGAAATTTATTCATTTTTATATTGATTTTTTTTTTCTTATAAAGACTTTTCTAAAAGTATATCCACACTGGACCTGTATAAAGTAAGCTTGTTCTGAGCTTTCTTACCAGCTCTTATGAAATTGGTAATCAAAGTTGAGGTTAAAGGTGGGGATGTTTGAGCTTTCAAAGAAGTAGCATATATGAGATTGAAATGTGCTTAATGAATCAAATTAACAGAGAAGATGAAAAGGAGGAAAAATCCTAGGGCATCAAAATAAAGATAATATGTTTGGCAACTATTGTTTTTATACAATAGGCTGTAGGATACACGATCAAATTTAGACAGTATTCAGTGAAATTGTTGGTGCCCACTTGTTCCTTTTCACACTCATGATGTTTGATGGCAATTACTCCCCCAACACACACACACACACACACACACTCCTATACACCTAAGGCTATGTTAGCATTGATGGAAAGAGACGGAATGGAATAAACTGATTCTAGGTTCCATTGTTTGAACTGTTTTAAAATAAGGATGGAATGAATTGGAACCGGATGGAATGCATTCCATTCAATATCCCTCCTTTTCTCTCCCATGAATTTGGGTTTATGGGATGGTACCAGTCTTTCTTTACATTCCATCGTAAAAAATTCAAACAATGAAATGATAACCCTATTCCATTTCACTGCATATCATTTCATTCCATTCGTCATTTCATTAGGTATCCAAACATAGTCTAGGATTTTACTGTTCCCACTTTTTCAAGTTTGCATGTAGTCCACCAGTCATCTATTTATCACATAGGCTATTAATATCTCTCTTGCCATGCAGGTGGGATTGTGAATAACACATTAAGGCCAACAATCCCAAACTACTGTGATCTTGAATGGAGAACACTGATGGAGCAATGTTGGGCACCCAATCCTGCAGCTAGGCCATCCTTCACGGAAATAGCGAGTCGATTGCGTGTAATGTCTGCAGCAGCAGTTAGCCAAACCAAAACACAGGGCAACAAGGCATCTAAATGATTGATATTGATGTTGGTTTTACCCTCCTCATATATACCAACATTGAGATGGATACTTTTTTCTTGATAAAAATTGATACTGTTAATTTAATTCATTGAATAGTACTCCAAAGATGTATTTTATCACCAGGGGCAAATGGTATCTGGTAAACTATTATTTTTTTATCGTTAAATGCTTGCCTGATTGAATTTTTGTTGTACAGAAGTTCAAAATTTGTCATTTCAGTTTCTGTTTGACTCCCTAGAATATTTTGATTTCTTTATTTTCTCAATCTTCCTCCCTATCTTGGATTTAGTAGCAATGGATCGTTTACTACTGCCACATATAAATAGTTCGTACCCCACTATCATTTGTTTCTTGAACAACGAGGAGCTAGGTTCAGAACTTGAACTTTCTTGTTTTTTCCCTTTGTTTTTACCTTCGTTATCTTGTAGCCATGGCTCAATTTTCATGTGTCAATAGCCAATTCACATCTTGGAGTTCAATAATACACAGCTGACTCAAATTGGACAATGATGTTAGCATCATTTGGTTGTATGTATATATATTGCTAGAGTATTAATTCATTTGTTAGAATTTTTTGGTTTGATATTTATGATCTATTTTAATCTAATCAAAACGTGGCAAATTCTAGTGATCCTAAACGAAAGATACATGTAATATTAGGGGTTTGAATTTCAAAGTTACCACTCTAGAGAGTTTTTATCAAACTACTATCTTGGATTCAAAGTTAATCTTATACTTTTGTCTAAGAAAAATTTCAAAGACCCGCAAGGAAAATTATCCATCATTATAAGAAAGAATTCAATATTTTAATAAATTTTGTTTTGAAAACAGAAACTCAACAAACTAAATAAATAAAATAAAGCATATAATATTCAGAATGACAAGAAAATTTGACTAAAGAAATTAAATAAAATAAATCATAAAATATTTGAATAATAAGGAATTTGACTGAACAATCAAATAATGAATGTTTGAACATTTACCTAATATCGTTTATAATAAGTTGACTTCATTAAAATATGAAACGTAGTTGAGAACAAATTTAGAAATTTTATTCTTTTATTAATAATTATACAAGACCATTATAAGTGGAATTTTTCTTTTCATACCACAGGTTTTTATTATATCCTTTTAAAAATTATCCACCTTCGTCAATTTTAACGTTTTTCAACAATTTGTTGGTGTATATATATATATAACCTTACTTTCTCTCTTCGTACAACCGACACGTGGTTAACGATTAACGAACTGTTGCAGTAAGAATAATAAAAAAGGAGGCAAACTTTGGGACATAACTGTTGGAGTTGGTTGCTTCTTCACTCCTTTGACTCTTTGCTGACACAGCAACTTTTTTTTTTATTATTATTATTCCAAAATAGAAACACAGCTTCTCCAATCCACAGATATATAGAGAGAGAAAGAAGAGAGAGAGAGTGTGTGTGTGTGTATGTGCTGTCATTATGAACCAAAAGGATCATTGAAGTTGAAGTAGATTCAGATTGTTTGGAACCCAAAAGAAAAAAAAAAGATAAATCAGAAGATGGGGTAGACAAAGTTGGATTCTTTTTGGTCTTCTTTCCCATATAAATATTTTTTTCCCTTTTCTTTTTCTCCCCAGAGATTAGCCATGGCTCTTCCTCTGAAACCCTCTTGAACCATTTCTATTTGAAGCTCAAAACAACCATCAGCCAGGTATTTAGTTGATTCTGTTTCATGCTTTTCTTGATTCAGCTGTGCTCTTATGATGGATGATGTCTTTTTCTGTCAATTGAATCAAACTTGATTTGTGCACTTATGATCATCTATGCTGTGTTTTGATGGGAAGGGTTGAAGTTAAGGCCCAAATTTGATAATTTTTGGATAACAAAAATCCTGGCAGAATTGAGCAGAAGTGATCTAATATTATATGGGTCATTCTTTTTGTAACCTGAATTGTGTATGCACTTATTCCTTCATTTGATCTTTGCATGTGGTTTGATTTGCTGAAAGAATGAAGGGTAATATTTCTGTCCCCCTATTTTTCTAGTTGGTGTTTGGGTTTTGCTTCACTGTATCCTGCTATGGTTCTATAACTCAACAATATTTTGGTTTATGCCTATTAGATAACAAAGTCTTGAATTTTAAGAACACCTTGGTCCAATTGATAAATCCTTTTCTTATTCTTAAGTAGTTAGTGTAAGTAATGATAAATTGTTAGGGAATGAAGTGGGGTTGAAAGAAATATGTACCAGGTAAAGAACTACTTTATCCAAGGACCAGAGACTACTATTTGATTACTAGCAAAATGAAGACCATGAAGGAACAATCTTAGGTCTACAGTATCTTCAACCTTAAGATTGTTAGAGAGGGAGTTTTGTGATTTGTATTGTTCAAACAAAGTGGCCAAAACTGTATTTTCCTTCTCATTTATGGCGGGTAAATCAAATTGCTAGTGGTATATAGGATATGTAGGTCATTATGATAATTCTAATAGCTGCTCTGTTGGTGATATATTTTCCAATTGATTTTCTTGGGTACAGTTCTTGTGATCTTATATTTTGTATCCATTCCCACAACATAGTTGTTCTATCTTTTGTTACATCTTATGTGCTAAGCAGTTTCTAAATTTCATCATGCACACAGGGTGACATATTCTGAAGGTAGTTTGATATTCAAGATAGTCTTGGGAATTCTGAAGATTCTGGGAGCTTCTTCACATGATGGTGACGTAAACTGAAGCATTAGTAAATCTTCTTTCTGTATCATTGTTATGGGTAAAGAATTCAAAATTTTGAAGTTGATAGGCTCAATATTTCTATGTGATTTTAAGTGTCTTTCCGGTACACATTATAGCATTAATATGCTTTGATTAGACGACCCAGAATGAAGAAACATCCTTATAATCCCATGGAACCTAGAAATGAGGAATTCCATCCTCCATCACAGTCAGTCCTGCAAGACCTTCGTGATGGCATGCATATCAATGCACGACCTCCTGCATTTAATATGTCAGAAAATAAGCCTGTACTTAATTACTCCATACAGACTGGTGAGGAATTTGCTCTTGAGTTCATGAGAGATAGGGTGAATCTCAGGAAGCCTTCCTTTCCAAATGTTGTGGGTGATCCCAATTATTCAACAGGCTATATGGAATTGAAAGGCATTTTAGGCCACACAGGATCTGAGAGTGGATCAGATATCTCTGTGCTTGCAAAGGTTGAAAAAGGTCCCAAAGAGTTTGACAGAAGGAACTCTTCTTTACCCCAGGACAGAAGTAATTATGGTTCAGCTCGATCAATTCCTAGAACATCATCTAATCAAGACAAGAACCGAGTCCTTCATGGTACTGCCTCTTCTGGATCATCTGAAAGCTCATCAATGAAGATGAAGGTTCTATGCAGCTTTGGTGGTAGAATATTGCCACGGCCTAGTGATGGAAAGCTTAGATATGCTGGGGGAGAAACGCGTATTATTAGTATAAGAAGGAATATACGTTTTCAGGAGCTTATGCAGAAAACATCATCAATCTATAATGAAGCTCATGTGATAAAGTATCAGCTCCCTGGAGAAGATCTTGATGCCTTAGTTTCAGTATCTTCTGATGAGGATCTGCGAAATATGATGGAGGAATGTCATGATCTACAAAGTGGAAGAGGATCACTAAAGCTTAGGATATTTCTGTTCTCTATGAATGATTTGGATGATACTCAGTTTGGTCTAGGTAGCATTGATGGTGATTCTGAAATCGAGTATGTAGTTGCAGTTAACGGCATGGACATGGGATCCAGAAACAACTCAATACTTCATGGTGCAAGCAGCTCTACAAATAACATGCATGAAATGGATGGACAAAATATTGAGAGGGAGACCAACAGAGTTCTGGTAGACTCATTTGGTGTCAGCGGTTCTTCCTTGACTGGCAATGTTAAATCATCATTGACAATTCAGTCTTCACAACCAATGCTATCAACCTCCTCTAATGCTTATGAAACCTATCCATCATTGTTTTATGATGACCAGATCATTCACCATGGGGAAACTAGTCAATATCCACTTCAGCATGGTCTTGATCCTTCTAATAACTCTGCTCGAAATCTTGGAGAGATTCCAGTTTCTGTTCCGACCCATGGTCTTGTTAACCAAGGAACCATGAATAATGGGCAAGCATCTAGTGAGTTTCAGGTACAAATTTCAGATATGCCAGTGACCATGGTTAAAAGAAAGGGTGATAATTTCGTTCATACAGGAAATGACCCAGGAAAGGTTTTCCCCTTAGAAGCACCATATCCTATTCCTTTGCAGCCATTTGAGGGCAATTTGCAAGGTAATTTATCAGAGGCATCGTCAACAGCTGCTATACTAGAAGGGAATCAGCCTGCACTGCCATCAAAGAACAAGGTTAAGCACCAGCCTTTTGAAGAAGCCACTTCATTGGTTAGTCCTATGAATCCCACACAGACTCCTAAATCTGGTGAAGATAACTTCTATCCACCATCCACTGATGCATCCAGCCACGTTCATGTTGATTCTGAGTCCAGTGTGATTGATTTCAGTTGCCTTGAACCACCTCCACTTCCCAACAGAGTTTATTTTTCAGAGAGAATTCCTAGGGAGCAGGCAGATTTGCTGAACCGATCTACAAAGTCAGATGATGCTCATGGTTCTCACTTACTCATGTCAGATTTACTTTCTGACTTAAACCAGAAGAATTCAGTTACAGAATCCAGTGACATATTGCACAATGGGAATCTGTCAAATCTGAACACTGTGTCCAGCTCAGCAGCAATGCCCTTGCATGCAGATGGCCATTCAATTGATGAAGAATTTTCCCAGCTACAGAAGTACAGACAGTTGCCTGATGCAACAAGTCAGATGAAGCGGGTATTGACAGATAATAAAGTTTCTAGAAATGAGGATCAGGTCCTTAGTTCTGAAAGTGAAGCCAATCGCTCCAAAAGCAACCATAATATTATCCTAGTTGATGAAACCAAAGAACATCTTGCACCTCATCAGGTTCCTCCTGTTGAGCTCAATCAGAATCTAGCATCTAAACTTCCAGACCTCAATTTGGGTGAGGTATCAACCAGAGAATCCAATAACGATACTCAGGTACAAGCTCAGCCTTTTCCTTTAGTTGGAAACATGGGCCAAGATGTTTCTCAAGACTTTCCCCCGGATGTTAAATCCAGACCTGCTCAGGGTGACATTCTGATTGATATTGAGGACAGGTTTCCCCGTGATTTCCTTTATGATATGTTCTCCAAAGCTGCACTTTCTGAAGATTCATCAAATAGTGGTCCCTTACCAACAGATAGAGCAGGTTTGAGCTTAAACATGGACAATCATGAGCCTAAACGTTGGTCATATTTTCAGAAGTTCCATGAGGGGTTTGATAATGTTTCTCTAATTGATCAGGATAATCTTGGTTTTTCATCTGCTGTAAGAAAAGTACAAGTGGGGGATAGTAAATCTCAGCAATCTGCTCCTCTACCAGCAGACAGTGTTTTGGCAGGACCAAAGGAATCCCAACTAAATTTTGGTGAAGAAAATCAGAAAAATGTACCTGTAACAACTAAATCAGAAGCCACTGTTATTCTCCAACAACATGATCATTCCCAAGTAAAGGGCAATGACAGTAAGAATAACGATGCCACAATGGAAAACATAAGACCACAGGAGCCTGAATATCAGGTATGTTTTTAGAGGTTCTTTATTTAAATAACCTGCACATTTTTATTTTATTTTTTGCTGACAAATCCTGTATCGGATTGAATTTAGGATGGAAAGAATGAAACAAGGAATGTGGGTGTAGCCAGGGAATTTGACATCAGTACTCTGCAGGTATCATGCTTGGATGTATTGTAGTTCTTCTGTGCTGATGTGTATTATACCTGCCTTTTCAACAAAAACTTCCACTGTAGAAATTATGAGTTCAATTTTCTGTCTTGTCAAATGGATTATTGTCTAATATTTGATCTGAAATTTATTTATAATTTTATCGTGTGTGAAATTGATAGGTGAAAATATGTTTTGGTAGGATAATTTTTTACCCTTGCTTAACCACTCTTATTCTATGTCTGAATTTATTCTTTAAGAGTACAATGGCACTTTTAGGTGACCAGACAAATAACATCGATGTAGAGTGACCCATTAATCCGAAACCATTACATAAATTGTTTTTCCAACATGTGCTAAGAAGCATGACTATGCCATATCCTGTATAAATTTGTTGTTATGACAATGACTTAAAGAACATATGTACTAGATAAAATGGCTTGGTGCTAAATGGTCTTTTTTTCTCTGTCATGAGATTATAGAATTTAAGTTCATAAGATTTACTAAAATTTAATTTAATACATATATTTATAATGCACATGGCAGTTCATAAAGAATGAAGATCTTGAAGAGCTGAAAGAACTTGGTTCTGGTACCTTTGGGACGGTGTACCATGGAAAATGGAGGGGATCAGATGTTGCAATAAAAAGAATAAAGAAAAGCTGCTTTGCAGGTCGATCGTCTGAGCAAGAGAGACTGGTAACTTTCATGTGCATCACATGCAATGATTTGTGGTCCTTTTGCCTTTTTCTCATGATTTAGTCACATATTTTTTCCTGCTTCTCTTTTATTAGAGGGGCTTATATTGATAGTATTCATTTCCACTCTCAGACCATAGAGTTCTGGCGGGAAGCTGACATACTTTCCAAGCTTCACCATCCAAATGTGGTGGCATTTTATGGTGTAGTTAAAGATGGACCAGGAGCAACTTTAGCCACTGTTACAGAGTACATGGTGGATGGTTCTCTTAGGCAGGTTTTACTTCGTAAGGATAGGTAATACATCCATCCTCCTAGGGAATGTGTCCTCTGATGTTAACCTCCATGACTTTGAAATTGTAAAATTCTTGTGTCTATCTTTATAAACATTAAATGGGTGATGCATTATCAAAATTGGTGAATATTTATAGAGTGATAGACACAATTTTCAAACAAGGTCATGTGAAATTTTAACATAAGATGATCTGTTGTCATTGTCTTAATATATTGCATTTCTATTAAATGGTTTATCATACAAAGAAAGCCGTCACATCTTGCTACATGTTAATTGTTATAAACCTTAGATATTATAAACTATTTTGACGTCAAGAAAAATAGTGGAGACTTTTGTGTGATTCTATCTTGGTTCCAGGTATCTTGATCGCCGCAAGAGGCTGATAATTGCCACGGATGCAGCTTTTGGAATGGAATATTTACACTCAAAAAATATTGTGCATTTTGACTTGAAATGCGATAATTTGCTTGTGAACTTAAAGGATTCTATACGGCCAATATGCAAGGTATCTATTCAAGTTGCAAATTTCCATTCTATTATAATTGTGTCTTCAAGGTTGACAAAGCTAAGAAACATGCTTTTCACCAGGTTGGCGATTTTGGTCTATCAAAAATTAAGCGAAATACCCTGGTGTCTGGTGGTGTGCGTGGAACTCTACCTTGGATGGCACCAGAGCTGCTAAATGGTAGCAGCAATAAGGTTTCAGAAAAGGTAAAATTTCATGTCATCGGTGGAAATTTATAATCATTGTTAGTTACAACGAATTCAAAAATAGCCAACAAGTTGAGTCATGTTTACCTTCTATTGGATATTGAAATTGTCAGCAACAAGATTTCAGTTCAATTGGCACCTGCCTAGATCTTGAACTTGACTTTCTTTCAGTTCCAAATTTCCAATCTCTCTCACCGATTCACCATTGGGAAAAAGAAAAGATTATTTTGTGCTATTTAATGGATTATTGTCTTTTACTGTCTCTACTTATCTCTATTGTTTGAAAAGCATTGATTACTAACGGTATTATGTAAAATATTTAGGTTGATGTGTTCTCTTTTGGCATTGTACTATGGGAGATTCTTACTGGTGAAGAGCCATATGCTAATATGCACTATGGTGCAATCATAGGTGCGGTCCAATTCTCTTCTCTTTAGAACCTTGTTTGCAGTTTCTTGGACTCCAGTAGTCTATCACCTTTCTGAGGCACTAGTTTGCTTTGCATCAATAGTACTTCCATTGCATTGATATAACTTCTATTAAAATCTCTCAATAATCAGAGTACAGTATCTGAATCTACCTATTAAAAAACAGATCAAATGGGTAAAATCTGAAGGCCTGACTGGATAATAGCCACTCACATAGTCAAATTAAAAGGGCCCACATAGCTAAACCAAAATAAAGAATAGAACATGTGTATTGAAATTCAAGCTACCTACATACAGAAACAACCCTTACACAACCTGAAGAAAAACAATGTTTTTTCTTGCAACCTCAAACATGTTATCTTGCAAATTATAATTTCAACGTTTGATTATTTTTCACCCCTTCTTCCTAGATATGTAAGTTTTCTTAGACATCTGTTGCTTCTACAAGTTTCCAATGACATTTCACATCTGTTTATGATAAAATTGCAGAAAATGAATGCGTTTTTCATTTATGTATAAATTTAACAATGATCAAATTTTTCTTTTAAGGTCTAAAGTTGTACATAAAATTATGTTTCCCTCTCATGCATGCATCTGACATCTATGAATTCTTTCCCTGTAATAATTTGTATAACTTCTCTGTAGTTAACATGATCTATTTATCACACTTATTCCATATTGGCTCTTCACAGTCACATTTTGCTCATGCACACAAATGATTAAAGAAATGATTCAGTCCTCCCCTCATCCCCACTCAAAAGAAAATTTCCTCACTTCCTTGTCGCACACTACATGCAGGAGGTATTGTGAATAACACATTAAGACCTACAATTCCTAGTTATTGTGATCTAGAATGGAAAACACTAATGGAACAGTGTTGGGCACCTAATCCTTCAGTAAGGCCATCCTTCACTGAAATTGCTCGTCGTTTGCGTGTGATGTCTGCAGCCGCCAGTCAGACCAAAGGACAAGGCCACAAGGCATCTAAATGAAAATAAAAAGATTTGATATATGGTTCATTCAATTATGCTCCAAAAAATCTGTGTTACTGTTATATAAGGGCCAACAATAGTTGTATGTATTGTATTTTTCTGGTCACTCCACCTGCTCTTTCTGTTGCTGATTGTATATATGCCAATGTGTGTGAATTCAGGTAAATGGAATTGTGCAATGGACTTGCATTATAATGCTATTTCCATAGTGAATTTTGTTCCACTTTTTACTTTCTCAGGATAAGTAGTTTAGATATTATTACAGAATACATCTCTAAAGATGCTGAAGAGTGAAGAAAACAACTTAAAGAAGCTTTCATCATCCATTTCAACACACATGGCTACATGGATGGTGACCTAAGCCTAGTGTCATGGAGTGGTGCACATGCTCCAGCATGACACTTCTCAGCTGGTCATTAGAATTGCATTTTATTTCATCAGCATTCTTTGTGCTTGTAATCTATATATCTATCTATATTATTACTGCTTTTTTAATATTTACCCAAAGACGTATAATAAGCTTCTACGTACAATAAATTTTTGTTGAAAATCAGGAAATATTAAAAATTTTATGTATTTGTAACTTTAAATGCTATAATTTTTAATAAAATTTTGTATTTATTCTTTTTATTGTGTATTTTGAACACATTAGAAAAACTTATATTGCTAAAAATCTTTCACCTGTGGTGTCACATGGCATTTTCACTTATTTTTCAAGTTTAAAATCTTCCACTATGAGAGTCATGCGACATTTTTCTTATTTTTAAATTTTTAAAATTATTTTAATTTTTTATTTGATTTTTATTAACTTTTCATTTATTTCATTTTTATGTTTATTAATCTTTTGTATAACCTTCTAGTTTTTCTCATTTATTAGATATTTGATATTTTTTTAATAATCAAATTGGTATCAAGTAATGCTTTAGGTGCTAAAACAATAATTTAATTTTTTAATTAAATATTTACTTAATATAAAAAATATTTAATATTATTAATAGTGCAATATAAATTATTAATAATATAAAATAATCTATATATATTATTAAAGATCTTTAACTAGGATTGACACATAATATTTTCTCTTATTTTTTTAATATCTTTTTAATTTTTTTTCATTCATTGCATCTACGTGTGTGTGTGTATATATATATATATATATATACGTTTTATACTTCCAACTTTTGACGGCTCAGACACTATACAAGCATGTGTTTAACAAATATTTAAAGAAGTTTCGAAAAGTAAGTCTAAAAATTAAAATATAGATTGATAATATTTCAAAGGAAAAGTGAAGTCTAACACATGACAAGTATGAGTATAGAAATAGGCATATGACTTTAAAAGTTGGTAACAAATTTTTAAAAGGTGCATGAAATTTAATAATAACTTTGGCAAAGATTATTTATAGTTGATTGGTTAAACACTTGTCTAACGAGGTGCAAATTTATTATGCAAAGTTAATTATGTTTGTTATTGGAAAAAATAAGAGGAGACATAACTAGCGTCATTATATTTATGGAAAAAATTATGTATTATTATTTATTGATCAGATAAAAATTAATGAGGATTAATAATCGGAAATGAGATTGATGACGATGAAGAAATAATACACATCCAAAAATAATTTGTAAGCATAAATCTACTTATAAGCCCTGTTAATTCTCATGCTCTCGTTTTTTTCTCACTTAATGCGTTTACAATATTCTATATTAATAATTTATATGAAATAATAAAACTAATTCTATTATGATATAAAATGACATTATTCGGCTATATATAGTGACATAATGATTAATTATATATTAACACACACTCTCCTTTATATATCAATAATTATATTTTTAAACACTTTCTCTTCCATTTATTTTTTTTATTTTTTTCCTTTCTATTTTAACGTATTATGTTTTTTTATTTTATCTTCCTTTTTCATGCCTATTTTACACTCCAAAATGGGTTAGTGAAATTTTTGTTTCCTTTATAAAATAAATAAAGTAAAAAACAGTAAAAGTGCAATTATTTAACTTAAAAATATCATTAATTTCTCTGATAGAGCACTATCTTGCCCCTCTCATTGGTCTCGCGTGTTTGTCAATTGTCACAAGTCTATTCTCTCTTTGGTCGGTCAAAACATACACAATTGGCCCATAAATTGACTTTGGGCATTATTCATAATAATTTGTGTCTTCCTCAGTTTGACTAACCATCCACTTATAAAATAGTTGCAAACCACTTTAATCATAAACTTTCCTTAGTTGAGAACAACATGAGAAGATGCTCAAGTACCTTGTTCTTCTTTTAATTAGGAATTCATTATTATAATTTAAATTTCTGTTTTAAAATTTTAACTCATACCAAATATTAAGATGGTCAACTTTTAATTGTTATGTAGTGTTTAAGTTATATATCATCATATATTTAGCAATTAATTAACAGTTTTTATTGTTAAAAAAATGTAATTATAGTAATGCCATACTTTCTCATTTACTTATGATATAAAATATTAAGAAATGGACATCAGCTACTATATAAATCAAGAAAAAAAGTTGCATGTACATGAAAAATCCATTTACTTCAGCATAAAACAAATACTAATCTGTTTTATTTTTAATAAACACTCATTAACTCCTTTAAGCAAACCGAGAATGATTGTCTTTTTACATTTAGGATGCACTACAATAATATCAGTTCAAATAGGAAATGAAATAAAACCTAGAATTTCTTGGAAAACAAAACTAAATTAACTTAACGTGTAATTAAACAACAGTAAAATCATAAACTTCGAAGATAATTATGGTACTCAAGAAAAGTGTCAAATTTAGAATTTTTTTTAGGCTTTTGACGTTTTGTCTTCTATTAAAATAGACAACAAATAGCTAATTAAATAAGTGATGATGTGATGAACAGGTAGACCTACAAAACCTGAAGTTACAAAGGAATATAGTTATCAAAAGTTGAAAGATAAGACATTTCAATATATATGTCATTGTTGGTTTTCTATTTGATTAAAAAGGCTAGGATGAAGAATGCTTGTCATATCACATGGCATTTTCTAATTCGGAGATCAAAATGGACACATTAATAATGTTTTACAATCATAAAACCAAAATATATACACACACCACTTTCATTAAAATAATATATTGATAGTATAGTACAACTTTATATAGCTTTTTTTAATTGTAACCTTAACAATTTTATTTTTCTTAATGAGCTTGGTTTCATAAAGGGTTGAAGGATTAGTAATTACTAATAATTAATTACCCTACAAATCAATAACTTGCATATGCAGCTAGCCTTATTATGATCACTTGTGACCTTAGCTATTATCATGAATTTGAGCTGAAAAAAATAAGGAAAAAATTTATGTAAATTGAGAAATTATTATTATACTTTTTATTTAATTTACAGTGTCTATCTTAATAGAAACTGTGGATGATTTAACTTTAATTATTAATTTTAATGACAAACTTAATTTAAAAAAGTATTGCTCAAAAATGAAAAATTTTGTTTTATGTAATATATGTTTAATTTTTATACATATATATATATATATATATAACTATTTTTATTTTATTTTCATTTAGTATTTAATTGAACTACGAGAAAAAGGAGAAAAAGATGCGAAGGGAAAAATGAAGGTTTATTCCCTCGCGCTGACAACAATTCCATCCACGTGGCCCTATGAAAATCCCATAAAACTTTAGAATTATTTCGAAAACACCCCTGAAGCGCGCATGCGCTGTCATGACCACGATAAGTCGCATTCGTTTACACAAACGCTGTGACAGCCACTACTTTTACGCCACGTGGACAATGAAAACATCCCTTCAAATGTCAGAACTTTCGTGGATCCCCACGTGTCAAGCGAAGATAGATGCACCCGAAATGCTCTCTCTCCTCTCTTTCTCTCTCTAGAAACCACCACCACTCTTCAACTTCACTGTCCCTCCCTTTTATAAATTAAAACCCCCCCCTCTCTCTCTCTCTCTCTCTCTCTACCCTGTTTTTCTCCCTCCTAGGGTTTCCTCCGCCATTGACCCCACCTCCGACACCAAGTCAAGCTGATATTTCCATGGGTAAATTTCTCCGACGATTCCTTTGTTGTTTGATTCCCGTAAAATGTTTTGAAAATGGAAGTGGTTCTTTTCTCATTTTATGCTTTTTTTTGTTTCATTTGTCAATTTTGCCACTTCAGGATTTCACCTGCATATTTTGATCATCTAGGTTTTCGTGGATCCTTAGTGCACCTTGTGATGAAATCTCGTGTTTTTTGGGGGCAGAGTTAAACAGTGTTGTAACTGTGGTCATCTGTCTTGGAAAAGTTTTCAGATTTCTGAGAGATTGTAGTGTTTTTAGTTAAATTACAAGAACTGCATGGTGATAGTTTTATTGGGAATGGTCATAGTTACTTTCTGAGCATGCATGGAATTTTTGGTAAGTTAGGAATTAATGTCATGTGGGAGAGGAAGTAAGTGCAGAGATTTCTTTTATATCAGTTTTGGACTGGTTACTAGCAATTTGTTTTGAGAACTGGTGAGAAAATGAGAAGAATGTCTAAGATGCTTTGTTTTCTACATTTATTTGTCTTAAAATTCTTAATCTTGGGGAGAGGTAACGAAGATAATGTATTAGGAATTTTGATTTTCTGCAACAGAGCAGGCTTTTTCATCCTGCTTTTGGTCTCATTTTCGGTTTGGTGAATTGAGGTGAAAAGTAAAATATCCTAAGGGTATTTTCTGACCCTGCATGCATAGTGATTTGTGATCTCTTACACTTAATGGTGTTGTCTCAGTTCTCGCTCCTTGACATAAAAAATGTGCAACGCTGTGAACTGAAAACACAACTTGTTGAATTGAATTTTTGAGTTTTTCAGCTCCTGTTCCTGAATTTTTCGGACTTGAATTCTTTTAAATGCTATTGGAAATTTTCCTCCCCCTCCCCTTTTAGCTCTGTAATTGCTGCAGCAATGTTGGCTTTTTTAAAGACAACATTTAGTGTAAGTATTGTGTCACTACTAACCAGTATGCTTTCTAAGGTCGGATCCCTTCATGCTAATTAGGAATGGAAATGCAGATACATTTAGTTATGATTGAATTGTTTACAAACATAATGGTGGAGGTAAACATGTCCATTATGACAGACCTTCTTAAATTTAATTTGAGATGTACAGTTTTTCCTTTCCATAATCTGAGTCTATACATAACAAGTTCAATTAGATATGCTGATCTCCATATTTTTAAACTTGTTCCGACTACAAACCAGTGATTAAAAGTTTTGGCTTTTATTAACCACTGGTAATCAATGATTTAGATACCAACTTTGTACTAGGACTTCTGTTTTCACATACTGATATGGCTTTGCATATGAAAATACAAACCAGTTGGAGTGGCTGTGGGTAAGGTGTTGGAAAAGTGGTATAAGTAGGTTAAAGGTAGGAAAATATTGAATCCAAAACATGCTAGATGACAATTTTTCCTTTAGTATGCAAATCCATTGTTTTAATCACATTTTTGGCCTCTGCAGAATTCAAGTATACTTGAAGTTTGAATATCATATGATATAAGGTTTTCTGTCTTGTTTTTATTATAGAACAGTAAGCAGAGGATAGTTAGAAGATAAATTTTAAAGCAGTAAGTGGTCATGGATAAATCAGAGCAGAGTCAGCAGCAACAACAACAGCATGTCATGGGAGTGGCACCAGGAGCTAGCCAAATGGCTTATTCTTCTCACTACCAGACTGCTTCGATGATGGCTTCTGGTGCGCCTGCTGTAGCTGTTCCTTCCCCAACACAACCTCCAGCTGCCTTCTCTAGTTCTGCTCACCAACTTGCATACCAGCAAGCGCAGCATTTCCACCATCAGCAGCAGCAACACCAACAACAGCAGCTTCAAGTGTTCTGGTCAAATCAAATGCAAGAAATTGAGCAAACAATAGACTTTAAAAACCATAGTCTTCCACTTGCTCGGATAAAGAAAATAATGAAAGCTGATGAAGATGTCCGGATGATTTCAGCAGAAGCTCCAGTCATATTTGCAAAAGCTTGTGAAATGTTCATATTAGAGTTGACATTGCGATCCTGGATCCACACAGAAGAGAACAAGAGGAGAACACTACAAAAGAATGATATAGCAGCTGCTATTTCAAGAAATGATGTTTTTGATTTCTTGGTTGATATTATTCCAAGAGATGAGTTGAAAGAGGAAGGACTTGGAATAACTAAAGCGACTATTCCAATAGTGGGTTCTCCAGCTGATATGCCATATTATTATGTCCCTCCACAGCATCCTGTTGGACCTCCTGGAATGATCATGGGGAAACCAATTGATCAAGCAGCGCTGTATTCTACACAGCAGCCTCGACCTCCCATGGCTTTCATGCCATGGCCCCCTACCCAACCCCAGCAGGAGCAGCCATCCCAACAACAACAAACAGACTCTTGATGACTATGTGCCATTCAATTAGGTCGGGAAGTAGAGTGCATCTTTTGATTATTACAAGTTAACTCAATGCCTTTCAGACAGCTATAGTTTAGTGTTATGCATTGAAAAATGCCAAAGATTGCCCAAGGTTTCTTGCACTCATTTGTGATGTATGAGCTTTTATACTGAATTACTCGTGGTTGTGTTTACTTTTCAGGTACTGGTGTGGTAATTAAATTAGGTTGCAGTTGTCCATAACTAGTGAGCGTAGCTGCTTAGGAAGTTTGAAATGATGGAATAGTTTGTATTGTTATTGTGGAAGGCAGATTCAGTTCTGTATTCCATCCATTCCAATGGCCGATTTTAAATTTTAATGTTCATCTGCCAGTGCCTACTAGTTGATGTTTATTCCTTGTCTCTCTAGTTTTGTGATGTGAGGGTGCCACAATTTTATTTTAACAAAAAATATATTTCTAAAATATAAAATAAGATTTGAATGGTCAATAATTTGTCTAATATGCAAACTTCCCAATCAACTAATTATATAAATTTACTAATAAAATTTTGCTTTAAAGGCTCTAGCTCTGTGTTTATTTTACCGCTTTCATTAAAAGTATTGAACTTTTTATCCACCGTTCTTCTTTAAAAAAAATTAAACATTTTTTCTAATAAAAAATATTTTTTTTCTTAACATTTAATAACTCCACTTCTAATATGAAAATTAAAATTTTGAACAAATTTTAGGATTATTATTTTATATATGATGTTTAAAAATTATATATACCAAAATATGGTAATTTTTTAAAATATTATAAAAATATAGAGTTTAAAAGTCGTGAGTGACAATTTTTTATGTAAGTACAAAAGTCAGTAAAGAATAAAAAAAGTGATGAAATTTTAAAAATTGTTAATAGCGATTTTTTAAAATATATTAAAATAATAAAAAATTAAAAAATGCTAATGACGATTTTTTTAAATACTAATAGAATATTTAAAAAGTATAAAAAAGTTATCAGTAATAATTTTTAAAAAAAGAAAGTCAAAAGTTACCGTTGACTATTTTTGAAAAAAAATCATATTTTTATAATTTTGCTAAAAATTTCATATTTCAGTAATTTAAAAAAAATATAAAAAATAGCTTTTTTTACTCTATTATTATATTGTGTTATTATGTATTTATCTTTAACTACTACTTTTTGAAATTTAAGTTAATATTTAAAACAACTAGATAATGGAAATATTTTGTAATAATGTATCATTTAAATTTAAGTTGTAATAAATGTTTACCTCATATGAAAAAGAAATTTAAAATAAAAATATATTTCTTATACTATCCAAATAAATACCTACATTATTATAAAAGTCCATTTATATTTAAATTAAAAATATATTGTAAATATTTGAATTTGACAAAGATGAAAATTTTAGGTACCGTTTAAGTAATTGGTTTGGTCAATCTAAATCATTAATAAAATAGAAAATTATTTAAGAACAGTTTGAAATTAGACGAGAATCTTTGAAAAAAAAAATCAATTGAAACCAGCTAGTACTACAATTTTTTTAAAATGTTTTTATTTTAAAATATTTTTTAAATAAATAAAATTTATACATGATAATTACATATAAATTTATTATTATTTAACTATTTATTATGACTATTTATATCATAAATCATGGAATATGATCATTTTATGTTAATTTCAAAATTTTCTTTTTCAAATGATTATGTTATTTTGAAGTCTTATCCCAGTGATCTCAATTAAATGATTATACAATGTCATTTACTTTAGTCAAAAATTAAATTTTTAAAAATTAGAAATTTAAATAATGATTATCTTAAATTAATTAAAAATTTTATTATAATTTTAAAAATATTTATCTAATTTTTAAACAATAATTTTTTACTATTTTATTTCTAAAGAAAAGAATTTATTTATTAAAACAATTAATTAATAATTTATAATGAGAGAAATTCATTTTATATTATAATGATCCAATTCTAACTCTTCCGTACCCACCATTGCAATAGAAAATTTAAGATTATGTAATTCTATAAAAAAAATTATATATATTTTAATTCATAATATAAAAAAATAAAAATATTTTAATATTAAATTTTTTTTTATAAAATTATAATGTTCAGAAGAAAAAATAGTACAACTATATATTTCATCTTACGTTAAACAATTTAGCATGCGAATAGAAATAACACTTGCGCGGTAAAATATTATAAGAAAAAATATTAATAATAAAAATAAGGTGTTTTAATTTAAAATATTTTTTAATAAATATTTTAATTAAAAATTATATTAAAAAAATTAAAACAACGTAAACTATATACAATTTATCATGATTTACTTAACAACCAAAAATAATATAAATTATATATCAGTATTGTAAAATGTTATATGATAAAATTAAAAATAATTTTAAGAAATTAAATACCTAATTATTTGGTTTATTCAAGTTAAAATATAACTTAAATTTTATATTATTAAATTAATTACTAGTTAAGAAGAGGAATATTTAAAAAAAAGAATAAAAAATATATTTAAATTAATCAACAAAGATAATTATTTAATGAAACAAAGTTAAAATAAAATTTAATTTTAAAATAAATTTATATTGCATGAAACCAAATAATATTATTATACAATATGCTTAAAAATAGAAACGTTATACTTTTTTATATATATAACAAGAACGTTACACATTACAAATTGATGTATTAGTATGATTTTAATTTAATTAAAAATTTAATTATTTTATTATTAAAAGAAAAAATTTAAAAGAATATTTTTTGATTAATTAAAGACAAAAATATGATTTAGTTTAAGATAAATTTATTTTATTTAATAATTAAAAAAATATTTTAGTTAATAAAATAAATAATTAATGAATTAAAAATAAAATTATTTAAATTTTAAAAATATTCATATACTATGTGAAACCTAGATATGGTAAGTAAAATTTCAACGATTTATGAGACATAAAGTAGAAATGCGTAGTAGCGTCTCTTAAAATGTTGTATTAATTAAGTAAAATTAATTTATTTTATTTAATAAATAAATTATATTTATAATTAAATAAAAAATATTTAAAGGATTATATTTTTATTAATCATAAAATAAAATTAAAAAATATTTTAATTAATTAATAAATATATAATTAATTAGAAATGAATCATAATTTAATTTTAAAATAAATGTATATTATTAATAATTAAAGAAATGAATATTTTAAAGAATAAATTTTAATTAAATAATTTCATATATTTAATCAATTAATTTTAGAAATAAAATTTAGTTTTTAAATATATTAATATTGCGTGAGACTAAAAATAATTTACATGAGACTAAAAATAAAACTAAATTTTAAATTATTTATCTTATCATTATTATTATTTTTATCATTGAAAAGGAGAATAAAATAAAACCATAAAAAGATAACATACATACATACATAAAAATTTAAAATTAAACGTGAAGGTCAAAATAAAACATAGATGATATTTATCTGAGTAATAAGATTATTGTTGTCATTATCAAGTTAAATAAAATGGGCTGGCAATTCAAGTTCTATTATGACTGACCCAAAATGTATAAAAGAATTATTAAGTTTTATTAGAAGTTAGCTCAAAATAATACAACTTCTTTTATTGTGAAATTCGTCCGAATTTATTAAAAATGACCAACGGGAAGAGTGTATGCATTTTTCTAAATTGGGGCTTATGGGTTTCTAATAAGCAGCAATTTTATAATTTCTTTTAAAGCAAATTTTGTGATATAATCGCTTAAGCAAATAAATTTATTCTTCAAATGAGTTATAAATAATTTAAATAAATATAAATGTTACTTAAACAAAATTAAGGTGACATAATTATTTTTTTTCTTAAATAAATTAGACCTCATTTAAGTAATGATTGAAAAAGAATAACCTTTTTCTAACTAAATAAGTTACATAAATGAGTCTTAATTAACAAGATACTGACTCATTTGATACCATACTAGAATTATACATGTTATTTTTGGATAATAACTTTATCACAACACAATCATTATGAGTGATCTATGTAAAATATTTTAACAATTTTTTCATAAACCGTCAAAAGACCTAACCCAACTCTCCTTCTCTATTTAAGTTTGGGTAGACTATGAAGTCATAGCAAAATTCATAATTTTATACTATGTTATTAATAATATATTTTAAAATATCAAAAAGTATATATTTATTATTACTATGAACCAATGCAAATTGATTTCAGTTTAATTTTAAAACTTTGGTTACATAAAAAAAATCTCACCAAATACCCTTATGTAACATATTATATTTTATAAATATTAATATAATGTCATGTGATATTTTTGTCCTACGACATATAAATATTTAAAATATTTATTTAAATTTTAATATTAAAATTTTTTCTTAATAATTTAGATAATATATTTAAAAGTTACTAAGTAAAATAAGTATTAGGTTTATAAATAATGAATTCATACTCTTTATATATATATATATATTCATTTAAATAATTCTAAAAAATTACTAAAAAATGGATTATGAGTTTAATACTCTTAATGAAAGTTGTAAAATGAAAATTAAGTTGTATAATTAATTGATTAAAAAAACTGAATTTTGAATGAAAATAACTTAGAGTTACAATTTTCATATTCTAATTAACAGTAATACACATAGATAATTTTAAAAGTTTTCTAAGAATTTTGTGTTGAGAATGTTATAGTTTTTTATGTTTAGTATACATGTTTTAAAATATATTCTTAAAAACTAACCCCCGTGGAACTTTTTATATTTATCAAGTTTTCCAAGAAAATAATCTTATAAAAGGGATGACAATCTCTATTTCTATCTCATTATTCCAAAGAAAGAATAAAATTTATAATAAACAACTATAAATGCATCTCCCTCAATCTTCTTAAACTTAAATTTAATTTATGTTATTTTTTAGACTTATCAGCATCTATTAAAAATCTCTATTAGTATCTCATTATTATAATTAAAGATTAATTTTTAGAATTGTTATTTTTAAAATATTTTATTATTTTCACCACTTATGTGAGTCAACTTAAGTAGCATATCAGATATGATTTTATGTAGGTGAACTTATAGATAAATTCTTATAAAAAATAAAAATAATATAAAAAACAAATATATATATATATATATATATATATATAGTTTTATATTTAACGTTTTTTTTATAACAACTTCTTTTTAAATCTACTCAAATTGATTAGAAAAAAAAAATATCTACTCAAATTGAACCATTGTCTTTTTCTTAAAAAAAAGTTATACCTTAGCTAATGAAGTTAATATTTTTATATAGAACGTATTTTAGAAAAATTATGTAAAATATTTTATTAAAGTGCATATGTGTTATGTTTTTATTGGTTGAAATCATGGTGGTTTAGAGATATATAATAAATTTGGATTTTACAAGATATTTTAGCTAGTTACAAGTTTATTTTAGTAGCTAAAAAACTTGTTTAATAAATATAATAGTTTATTAAAATAGATGAAATGGATAGTTACTAATTTTTTTCAATGTTAGTCAATTTTTTGTTTTCAACTACTAATTAAAAGTAATTTTATATTTGTCTTTGTTATTTTTAAGTAATTCCTTTTTTTAACTATTTAACTTATATATATATTATAAAACCCTCTTCAAATGCCCCTCTCTCTCTCTCTCTAATTTTTTTTTTTCGGTTTTAATCAAGAGTATTGAACTGTTGATCAACTTTTGCTTATTCCAATAAAAATTAGTCTTTCTTTTTCACGTCATTAACTATATAATTCTATTTTAAAATTTAATTAATATTTAAAATAAGTTGATAATATTTTTATCACATGCATGACAATATTTTGTAACAGGTTAATAATATTTTAATTTAATTATAATAAATGTTTACCAAAATTTTAAAATAAAATATTTTTTATATTACAGAGATAAATACATACATTCATAAAAGAATATAATATTAAATTTAAAAACATATTGTAAATATTAAGTTTAAATGTATAATAAGTATGCATTTATATACCAATGCCACTTTGTGATGCATTCTTTAAAATAATCAGTCTTTTCAATCAATTAATTTGTTTATACTCTTATCTAATACCGTCAGATTAATAACAATAATTGATTTTTATAACAATTGTTATAAAAAAAATCATATAAAAATATATCTAACTATTAATTTTCTATTTATTGAGTGATTGTATAATTATATTTAGTTACCAATTTTGAAAATTTTAATTAATATTTAAATCAAGTAAATCAATTTTTATCATGTGAAAGATAATTAAATATTGTTAAGGATTTAGAACAATTTTTTTTATAAAATACGTAGACAATTTAAATTGTTCTATAAAGAATAAAATAAATTTATTATATATTTATCTATATTAAAAATCTGTAAAATAAATTTGTTGTCACATAAATTCTGTATTGTTTAAATACATAATTTAATTTTAATTAAGTTTAATACTCTTTTTTAAAATATATTATAATAATAATATCAACTTTTATATTTATATCTATCTATCTCTCCCTGCCCCCTCCTCTCTCTCTCTCTCATATTGTGTTCAATCTATGTTTGAAGAAACTGAATTACTTATACAATCAATATAATAATTTCTTAATGTTAATTTTAGAGTTTAATGTTAATGTAATTCAGTATAAATATTTTTATATCATCAATTAATTAAAATATATCTTTAATACAATTTTTAAAATAATTATTATAATAATTAATGATTCTTGCTAACATAGCAATTAATGATTATGATAATCTAAAAAGTATTTATATTATTTATGAATTTTGATTAAATTCTTCACTGAATCCAATTAATATTTATTGTATAAAATAATATATAAAAAATCATGTAAAAATTTATTTTAAAATTAAATTTTATTATGCTTCTTATTATTATTTTCCTTATTTTTATAAAAATTTAGAAAACAAAACTAACGTCAAATATTAAAGTATTATTATTATTATTATTATTATTATTATTATTATTAAATGCGTTAGTTATTATTTTGGATCTATATTAATTTTTCCTCTTTTCAAGTTTTATTTAATTAAAATATTTATGGTTTGACTTCAATATTAATGTAAATTTTGAATTTTTCATAATTTATTCTTTAATTTAAAAAATTATCTTATTATTATTTTTTATAATGTAATAAATTACATTATTTACTCTTTCTAATTGTATTTTTTTAATATAAAAAATATTATAATCGTTAAACACATTATCCAATTAAAATAATTTTTACAAAAAAATAGAAATAAGAAATATAGAATCGAATTTAAAAAATTAATATTAATTATATAATATGATATTTATTAAATAAAATCAAGTTATTATTTATAAAATAATATAATGTGGATTAATGATTCTCTTAAAAGCTTGTAAATAGTTTACAAAGATTAGAATATACTACATCTTTTTTTATATTATATTATCTGTATATAATGTTCGAATGGTTTAGTTTATGTGTGAATGGTTTAGTATCCTTTTAATATGTATTATTAATTTTTTTGAGTTGTTAAAGGAATAGAATACATGTGTATACTTCTTAACTTGTTTTTAATAAATGTCAGTGCTTAACAACCATAAAAATTGTAAAAAAAAAATATTTATTTATTTGACAAAATTTAAAGAAAAGGGAAAAAAATTCAAACTTAAAAGAACTTCTGTTAAAAAAATTATATTTTATCTCTCCTAATAAAGAGAGAGTAAAGATTCAAAAACTTATTAAATACAATAACTTGGAGCCAGTCAACCTCTTCAAGTTTTTATGATTATTTCATCAAATGTCAAACGAAGGTGTTAATAATCACCGCATTAAATAAAAATCAGTATAAATTAACTATTCATAGGTAAACCAGAGTTTAATTGTTATATTATATTATATTAAAAACAGAAGTTATTTTATTAATTTCTTTGATATACCCCAATCCAAACACGAAAAATTCATGTTCTCTACGAATACAAAAAATAAGATAAAGATGAATCTATGATTTTCAATATTCTTTCTCCTAAAACATGAATTCTCCGCTTGACTGTAAAGAACTCGCACTTCAATCCTCGTCAATGCCTTCAAAGGCCCAAGCGTGCGCCTTACGAAGCTTAGCCTCTTCTTCTGGTGTGAAATCGTTTTCAATGTCAAAGAACTTTCTCACGAACTCAACGCTTTTGTTCTCAATGAGATTTGCAATGGACTGGCTCAAGAAATCAAAGAAACTCTTCATGTTGAGGTAATTTGCTGCAAGGAACAACAACTTCAACTCATCGCTACTCAACGCCTTCACAAATTGCTCATCGAACCTCTTACGATCGGCATCGTCGGGGATGCGGCGGTGCTCTCGGCAAAACTCGATGATTTTGGCGAGTTCTTGGCTACAGACATTTGGAAGGGGAATTATGATGCCCGTGCCGTCACCTTCAATGTCATCGACGAAGGATTGCACCGTTTGCATCTGCTCCACAATCAAAGAATCTACTTCAAAGATTGCATTATCTGCACTTTGCAGCGTATATGTCTTCAATTTTTCCTCTGCCATTTTCTGCTTCGAACATTCCCCTTTCTCACTCATATTTGTAACGTAGACAGAGAGAGAAAAAGAGAGGGAAGAGGAATTGGAGTGAGTGGGTTTAAGGGGTAGGGTGGTGCTTTTATAGAGAGGAAGACCAAAACCCTGTAATTCTTAATTTAATTCTTTTAAGTATTTGAATTTTTATTTATATTTTTGTTGATAGTTTAAGCTGTTTTGATTTTATCTTAGATAAGAAAATTGGACTTGTTGGGAATGGTTATTAATGAATATCCAATTGTGATAAGGTTTTATTTATAAATTAAATAAAGTGTTTAATATTACTTTGAATACATCTTCTTTTTTTTCCTTTTTTTATGAATAGAATTTAATACATTGTACAATGCATGTATTTAATATTTATTCATCGATGTTTAAGGTGATCGTTACATTATCTAATAAATAAATATTAAATACATTTTTTATTTTTAATATAATAATTGTTTTTCATTAAATGCTTAAGATTTTGTTAAGAATTGTCATGTAAAATTAATATTTTAAGATTTATTTTAATATTTTTTTCTATATTACAAGTATATTTCACAATCATATAATCACTAAAAGATTTTCCTCCGACAAAACTCAAGATAACATGTTTAGTTAAAAGAATCTCATATCAATATCTATGCGGCAATAATTGATTTTTTAAAAATTAATTTTTATGTATCATTAATGTAAAAAAATTTATATTGCTAATTAATTACAATACATTGTACATATAATTTTTATATTAATTTTAATATAAATTAACAATTCTTGATAATATGTTAATTTATGACTAGGTAACCGTGCATAAAATTATTACAATATTAATATATTTAAATTAAATTTATTTTTAAATAAATTCATAAATATTGCAGTTAAGAATTTACAAAAAAGAATATTTTTTATTGAAAGGTTTAAATTTTAGATGATTTAAAATATTACCTACTTACTACGACTATCTTTATTTTATTTAATTTTTATCTATTAAAAAAATTATCAATTTATAAGTTGAATATAATATTAAATTTTGTCAGTTATATCCTTATATTAAATATTTTATATATTTGTCGTAACGAGAAACAAAATAGTATTATCAAAAGAAATGATAGAGTAACTATCATGTAATGGCATGGGTATTTTAAATTTTAAATAAAATGTAAAAATAATAAATAAAAATGAAATACGTAGAAAATAAAAATAATAATAACACAACTATTAATAGCCGAAAAATATTACTATTATTATTAAATAAGGCTAAAATTACACACATAAAAAAAATACACTATAATAAAAGACACTTTAACAATTAATATTATATTTCATTAAATAAAAAAGAGATAAGGCATTTAAAATTAAAGATAATTAAATAGTTGGTAAATTAAGTTGTTATTTTTTTTATTAATATTTATCATATTTTTAGAAAAGTTAACTGCTGTGCAGATTATCTTGCAAATTAAATTTTTTAGATATACGACGATGAATTTATTTTTGAATTTTCCCTTCCTCAATTTGTTCCCATCTTCCAAGAGGATAACAAGGAAATTTACTTTCCTAGACTTTTGTTAATTGTTCTGTCTTTTGTTAAGTTTTTACTCCATTGGTAATAAAAAAATAAAATTAAAGATGATTGTTTAAACTAGAATACTTCATCTAAATGTTCAATCTAAAAATGATATAACGTACCACAATTTAAAACTTAAAATTAAATTTGACAATTATTATTATAAAACATAAGAAAAATATTCAATAGCAAGTATTTATATTTATTATATTAAAAATTCTCCATGCATTGCACAAATACATTAAATCTAAATGAATATAACAAAAAAATTAAATATCAGAATTTAATAATAGTTGTTTTCTTGATTAAAAATAATAAATTACAGAAAATAAATTTAAAATTTAGGAAAAAAATTAAATGTAAATACAACATCTCAATATCTATTAATTTAGTATAATATATAAAAATTTAATAAATCTTATAATATTGAGCATAATTGCATTCCCTAGACTTAAACTTGAAACCATAAGTTGTGATAGAACAATTACGCGCAAGTTGATCCATGTACTTAATGATAAAAATTAAATTTTAACGAACATTAACTTAAAATACAACAATTTTATAAAATAATTTATATCAAAAATGATATTTTTAATTTGATATAAAGTGTGAAGACTTAAATTTTAAAATTATTATTTTTTAAAATTAATTAAATTCATAATATTGAAGAGAAAAATAAAAAAGATATATTTAATAGAGTAAAATTTACATGACTTAATGAGATAGTAAACTTCTATTGTAGTACATTCAAATCAATCTTGTGAAACTAAAATTTTAAATCTTAATATCTTAAATTAACAATTATTAATTAACTCAGTTTTTATTATTGACAAAATGAATAATTAAGTGCTGATTGAATACGTGAAAAGACACAAAAAATAACATTATTTTAAAAAAAAATTAAAATATTTTATTTTTATTCTATACTTTTGAGATTTTCAAATAGTAAGTTTCTTTCTTCTGCTTTATCTTCTTTCATGGTGTATCATTCTTCTGCAAGATTTGGAAGATAAGAACCAAAGAAGATCAATCATATTTTGATCAAATGGTAAGGTGATTCGTCGTAGTTAAAGGTAGAAAAAATAGCTATAAAAAAAATATCATAAAAGAAGACAAAAATAGAATAAAAAAAAGAACTATTAATAAAAATTAATTATTTTTAAAAAATTCTAATACAACATCATTTTACATCTTTTCAATTATCACTTGAAGTGATAAATTATTACTCTGTTTTTTTAATGACATATATTAACTTTAAAGACTAAATTTAGTTACATTACATATTTTATTAGAAATTAAAATAAAAAATACTTTAAAAAATATATAATTGAAACCAAATTAATTTTTGAAAAATATATAGTTATACATCTTATACTTAAGTAAAACTAGCATATTATATAAAATTAAATTTAAATAAAATAATACTGTATATTAAAATGTTAAAATGAGTTAAAGCCTAGGCCCTACTCCACTCAACTTCTTATATAGCCTATTTTTTTCAAGTAATATAGTTAGTGGATTAGTTTTGCCCTTAAACCCTAATATCAAAAAAATGGTGGGCTAAGGTTAGGTTCGGGTGGATTAACCCACCTATTTCAAAAAGAAATTAATAATTTTTATTAAATTATTTTATTTAAAAAACTAAAAATTAAATTTATAAATATAAAATTAATTTTAAAAGTAAAAAATATTTATTCAATATAATAAAATTTTATCATAAAAAATAATATTAAATATAATTATATTATAAAATTAAATTAAATTTAGCTTTTACTTTTGGTTAATTTTTTAATTAAATTTAATATGTTATATTAATAATTTATAATTTTAATTAAAAATTAATAATAAACATTTTAAACTAAATAATAATTAAATAATAAATTAATAAATTTAATAATTTTTATATGTTTTGATATTATTTAATGACTTTTAATAATTATGTATTCGGTTTAGGTTTATATATGATATGATTAGTTTAAATATAAATATAAATACCTAAAATCTTAAATGGTTATTTTTAATGAATTTTATATAGATATAGATAGATTTTTTATTCAAAAAATTATAATTGTTAATAAACATTTTAAAGTTAATAATTAGTAAATATTTACATAAATTAACAAAAAATAAATTAAAAAAATAAATTATTGATTAATTTATTAATTTATATATAATATATTAATATATGTTTTAATTTATTATATCAGTGATATTTTTCTATATTACATTAATGTTATAGTGTAATTAATTTTATGAATATTTGTTAATTTAAAATAATAAATAAAGTAAATAAAATTAAATATTTTATAATTATTTTCTTAATTTAATAATAATTATTATTGTCATTATATATATATATATATATATATATATTGCATTGACTTTAAATTTTTATATTAAATTTTATTATAAAATTTTTATTAAGATAAAATTTTAAAAAATAAAAGTTATTTTAATTTAAATATAAATTTTATTAAATTAAGATGAGATAAAAGTTAAATCTATAAACATTTATTAATTCTTATTATGCTTATATATTATTTGTCTGTATCCATAAATTTGATAACATAAAATATTTTATGTCTACAAATTTTATAATAATAATAATAATATATTTTAATATAATAATTTTCATTTAGCTAATTCAACAAATTTTGTAAGTATTATATTTTGTTATTAATTTTATATATTTTCTATCACTTTATTTATTTAATATAATAAAATTCTACACAAACAAAATATGATCTTCATAAAAAGTAAAAATAACTAAAATCTTTAATGCTTTAATAATTTTATAAAAATAAATCAATAAAAATAAATCAATAAAAATTTTATAATATGAAAACATTTAAGCTAATGCTCAAATAATATTTTAAAAATTATTTATAAAATTAAATAATTTTTTTTCAAATTATTTAATAATTATCAATAATATAGATAAAAATTAAAAAAATATATAAACTAATTTGATAATAAATAATTATATTTTTATTAATATTATTTAATAACAACAATCATTATAAATATTTATTATTATACAAATTTTTTTTTTATTTTTTAAGCAATTTTATTAGTTTACAAGTTTATAATAAAAAATGTCACATAAAATAAATATTTTTAATAAATACTTTAATAATTATTGCAATACATATCAAATTTCTTAAAATTTATATTCTTTAAGAATAGATAATTTTTTTTTATGAAACCTTATCCTAACTCTGACTCACATGACTTTTTGACTCATAAGATTTTTAATTTAATGAACCTTTTGGCCTACGAGGCTTTCTGGCTCGACCAGCGTGGACTAGAACTAGGGTTACAGTTAAAATAATAATAATAATAATAATAATAATAATAAGATATTATATATATATATATATGTATTAAAATTATATATATATATAAAGATGAAGTTTATTAAAATTTTATTAATTTATAATTTTATATTTTTATTTTTGTTTAATATTATATATCACTGTAGAAAGAAAATAAAAGACTGTCGTACATTGTGAATTAAAGTATCCATGGTTTTTGCTAACCCTTTGTTAATTTTTACAATATAATATTTTATTCATGACAATTGAGTATTTATTGTGCATACAACTCAAAAAGATATATTAAAAATGTAATTTCTAATATAAGTATTTAATAAATTACATTAATATATTAATTTGTTATATATTTTATTTTTTAACCATTATCCATTAAAAAGAGCATAATCTATATAATAATAAAAAAAGTACACATACTCTATTAAAAGTATTAAATATAAACACAAAACTATGATAAAATCAGATTAATGAAAAACTATCTTTTAAGATATGAAAAAAAATATCAGTATAATAAGAAGAATAAATATAAATATAATTTTTCATGAATTCTTTTGTATTCTATAATAATTTTATTTAATATTTTATATATTAAATTCATTTTTAAAAAATAAAATAAACTCATACAACTTATAAGTATTATAACCAATCCTTATCGTTTTGGACATCTTTCTTAACTGATCAAGTGCAATAAAATGTCCAGAGAAAATAATCAAAATAAAAAAAATTTATAAATTAAAAACAATTAATATTTCTTTATTTTTTATTTAAGTTTACTAAAATTTAAAGAAATGGATTGTTTCAAATTATGAAAAAATATTATTATTTATATTATTTTTTTATTTTATAATTTTTTTTAATAATCAATATAAAACTTGGTTAGAGTAGCGTATAAAAATATTTCCTTGCAATTGATTTCCAAAGTAACAAATATAGGAACTTTCAATTCCAAAATCAACGTTAATCAACGAAAGTGTGGAAGTGCCTTTGCAATGAGAAAAAGCTTAGACGTTATAATTTTTAGTTTTCCCTTTAGTTCACTATTAGCTCAACAGAAAGAAGAATAAAAAGAAGAAGGGGAAAGGTATCCCCTGTTGAAGAATGCGTTGATAATTATGGTCATTTTCAAATAAAAAAAATACCAAGCCTAATATGTTAGTAGGTACTTTCAAATATCTTAGACTTCAACAATATATAAATTCTACATATTAATAATAATTATTTAATGTGGGACTAAAAAAAATAAAAAAATACATACTTTTAGAGTTTTTCTCAATGAAAAAAAATAAAAAATTAATGGGCCTTTTTTTAATACAAAAGCGCCAAGCCTTAAGAAGAGTGAAATTTTAATCTCGAGTTTTTTTAAATTACAAAAATAGAAAATAAATTTAATAGATACTTTTCTAATTAAAAAAGGCTAAGTCTAACAAGTTTTAGGACTTCAAATTTTGAATCTCTTAAATTTGGCCAATTATTTTGAGACAACAACAATATATAAATTTTACATATGTGTGATAATTATTCAATATGGGATTAAAAGTTTGTAGAACACATAGGAAGAGATTTTTTCTCAATTATAAAAAATAAATTATTGATTTTTTTTCTAATAAAAAAAAATTCAAGCCTAAGAGGAGTTTGGAATTTAAATCTTGACTTTTTCTAAATTACAAAAATACAATACAAGTTTACAAATTTAACGAGCCCTTTTATAATAAAAAAATGCCAAGCTTAAGAAAAATTTAAAATTTTAATCTCTTAAACTTTGCTAATCACTTTGAGACATCTACAATATATAAATTTTATATATGTATAAAATTATTCAACTAGGACTAATAGCTTGTAGAATGCATAGTATGAGAGTTTTTCTAAATTATAAAAAAAATGAATCTTTTTCTAATTAAAAAAAGCCAAGCGTAAGAGTAGATTGAAATTTGAATCTCAAATTTTTCTAAATTCTAAAAATAAAATATAAATTTAAAAATTTATTAGACTTTTTTCTAATAAAAAAGTGTCAAGCCTAACAGGTTCAGCGACATTAAAATTCAGATTGCTTAGACTTGACCAATAACTTTGAGGCTTCAACAATATATAAATTCTACTTATAGGTGATAATTATTCAATGTGGGATTAAAAGTTACAGAATGTATAGTATGAGAGTTTTTATAAATTACAAAAAATAAATTATTGAGACTTTTTTTAATAAAAAAAGGTCAAGCCTAAAAGGAGTTTAGAATTTGAATCTTGAGTTTTTCTAAATTACAAAAATACAATACAAGTTCACAAATTTAATGGGCCCTTTTGTAGTAAAAAAATGCCAAGCCTAAAAAGAATTTAGAATTTTAATCTCATAAACTTAGTCAATCACTTTGAGACGTCTACAATATATAAATTCTATATATGTGTAGCATTATTTAACTAAGACTAATAGTTCGTAAAATGCATATTATGAGAGTTTTTCTAAATTATAAAAAAAAAAAGTGAATCTTATTCTGATAAAAAAAAGCCTAGCGTAAGATAGATTGAAACTTAAAAAAGGCCAAGTCTAACAAGTTTTAGGGCTTCAAAATTTGAATATATTAAATTTGGCCAATTACTTTGAGATGTCAACTATATAAATTTTTTTCATATATGTGATAATTATCCAATGTGAGACTACAAACTTGTAGAATGCATAGCATGAGAGTTTTTCTAAATTATAAAAAAAAAATTGTTGAGTGTTTTTTTAATAAAAATAAGCCTAGTCTAAGTGGAGTTTGGAATTTGAATTTTGACTTTTTCTAAATTACAAAAAGAAAATACAAATCACAAATTTAATGAGCCTTTTTCAAATAAAAATGCACTAAGTCTAAAAGGTTCGAGTGCTTTAAAATTTTAATATCTTAAACTTAGTCAATCGCTTTGAAAAGTTAACAATATATAAATTCTACACATATGTGATAATTATTCAACGTGAAATTAATTGCTTATAGAATGCATAGTATGTTTCTACTTTCTAATTTGTTATCTAACCAAGTATTAATTGTTAAAAATAAAGTGTTTTATGAATTTTCTTATATTCACATAAAACTCCCAATAATATTAGGTAAAACATAATTTTTTTTATTCACTTGCGTTAGTTTTTTAACTTTTTACTTTTGGTTACATATATAGTCTATTTTTCAATATAAAATCTTATCTAATGTAATAATTTTTAAAATATAAATATTCACTTTTTAAAATTTATTAAATTAAAAATTCATGCAATTGATTTCTGATTGTTTTTAAGAAAATTTTTTAATTTAATAAACTACTAAATGTATAAACTATAAATTATAAATCCTTAAAAATTGAAATAAAAATAATATTCACATTATTTTTTATCGGTAATTTCTCTAAAAATATTTCATAATTTCCTATGACAAAATAAAAGATTTTATTTTGATTTCCATTCTTATTTTCATATATTAGGATGCAAATTATTATTAATGAGGTAACAACATCACAATGTTGAGAATCCTTTTTGTATTTATATATTTTAAAATATAATAAAATTCTTTTTGTATAAAGTTCAAATTTAAATTAAAGATTAAAAATTTAGCTAAATTTAAATTAAAGTTTTAATAAAAAATTTTAATTAAGCTAACTTTAAATATTAGACGTGTTGAATTCGTTAAGTCAACAAATACTAAAGCAGTTTTATTATTTGAATTCACTAACTTGAATGTTATCAACTTGTACCTCCATTTTATTTTTCTGATTATTCATAAAATTTGTTTGGTAGCAAATACTAGTGTTATGATTGTGGGACATGCAATAATCTTTTTTTCAATATACAATAACAAAATCAAATAATTAATTATTTAAAATTTCATTAGTTACATACAATAGTCTATTTTTTAATATGGAAATAAAAAATGTGATTTCTTAATTCATAATTTTAAAATAAAAAAATTGAGTTGCATATATAAGATATTGCTATTATAAATTGAAGTCACAAAGACAGACATTTACTTAGTCATGAAAAGCCACGTAACTTTTTTCTTTAAATACATATTCTTGCTCCAAACTAAATTGATTTGCGCACTCCATACATTGTTGTGTAGAAGATTCTTTTTCCTTTTACAATTTTTTTCTCTACTCTTCTACTACTTTTTGTACCGTTTTACTTATCAAGTTCCTCCCAAGCAAAGGATTAGTTGCCATTTCATCATCCAAAATCAATCCAAAAAACTCAATCAATTTCCTTCCCTCAAAACACTTGAAGGTGCAAAGCAAAATAAATAATTTCTTTAACATATAAGAATTCCAATAGGAAAACAATGCCTACAATTTGCACTGTCAAAATCTGAACCACTTGTTTCCATTTTACTGTTACATCGTATTCAAATCCTGAGATCTAATGTCATCAGCATTTTGACGGCCATAATCGCACCCACACCATTCGCATATGCAACAAATTGTGGGCAATTGTTATTACTTACCAAAACCCTAGCGTGCTTTTGAGCTCCTCTCCGTGCGCTATAACTTCACATACATCTCTTTACATTCGGCTTTGATTTTTTGCCTCTTCCTCAAATAAACTAATTTATTCTCTCTTCTTACTCTTCTTTAGTGACTGCATATTTGCCAATGCTTCCACCTCTTTTTCCTGTCTTTTCACTTCGTCTATATGTTCTTTATTTGTTTTTCTATTTTTAATGCACTTCTTTAACAATCCTTTCTCCGCTAGCATTATCAGTTTCTGTTTTTTCTGCTCTTTTGCTTTTTCCTCAACGCCGTCACCATCCAACATCTTCATTTCTGCCGCATTTTTGGCACCAAAAACCTATAATATATCAAAGTAAAGAAGTCAGTTGGAAATTTAAAAAATAAAAAGCTTTACGTAGCTCATAAATTGGAAAAAGCCATTATCATGAAGATACAAAAAATAAAATAAAGCAACAATCAATATGCAATTCAATCACAAGGCCAGAAAAGCTAATCTGCTAATGCTTCCACCTTCTCTTGTTTAGGTTCTTTTCCTTCTTTTGCAAATTCATTATTTCGTTTTCTCTTCTTGTTTCTTTTCTTCAACAATCCCTTCTCTGCTAGCATTTTCAGTTTCTGTTTTTTCCGTTCTTTAGCTTTCTCCTCAAAGCCATCATCTATCATCTTCATTTCTGCCACATTCTTTGCACTGAAAACCTAGAAATACATCAAAGTCAAACAGAATTAGAAAAAGAACTTTACATGCTTATGATTGAAAAAAACCACAATTATTAGACAGAGAAAAATAAAAATAAAAATTCAGTCACTAAACTGAAAAATTACCCCATAAAAACATACCTTTTTCATGAGAGAGAGCACCTCATTTTCTTTGTATTCAACCATTTCAAGTTGCTGTTCAATAAGAACTTCTATTTCACGAATAAGATCAACATCATTCTGCAAATGCCAAATTTAAATAGTGAAACAATAAGGAAACCAATGCAATACAAATATCAGAATTCTAAAATGACCTCATTTAATATATAAACATCATAGTCAACTGAAATAACATGGATACTGCCTTTGCAAAATATACATACACTATGTTACAACAATACAACATAAGACAGAGTTTGTAGCACCCTATTGATAATACCTATTCTGCCCATTTTCAACCAAGTCTATTATTATATGATGTGATTCTTATCAAAATTTTCATACGGAGCACATCAAACTTTGGCAACTTCAATTTTAACCAAAAGCTGAACAAGGAGTCTCAACTGAACTTCATACAGAATTACAGACACAAGTCCTGATAAGAATCCACACTAAAATATGCCATACACAACATATAGAACTGTCACATATTAAAAATAGTCATACATCAAGATATCGAAGACCTAGCTTAATTTGCAAAACAAGCAGGCAACGAACTTTTTAAATTTTCACTGCTCAAAATGAAGTTCAAAAGTTCAGAGTTAAAATCATATGTCTGGGATCCAATTTCAACAGAGTTAGATGTTAAAATAATAACATCAAAATAGGACTTGAGGATATCAATTTACAACCTAAAGGACATAAATTTGGCAAGCATTTATATTAAGAGTATATGTGGTAGAAAACCTATCCTGTAATAGCAATTCTGTAAAGTTCTGTATTAGAAACTGCATGATGGCAGTTTTTCACAGAAAATAACTAATGACATTATGTAATAAGATTATATCAGATAGTAGTACAGTGTGTAATTAGGCAAGTGAGGACAGAATGCTCTCTGTAGGAGACATTTGTCTCTGGGACAGAGTTAAGATCCCACTGCAAGGTCTTGGGTCCCACATTAAAAGTATGAGATTCTAATATGGGGTTTATAAGGCCTTGAGCTTTCTGATAGCAGACCTCCTATGACAAAGGTTTATAAGAGAAAGAGAGGAGTTAGAAGAAATATTAGAGAAAGGGGATGCAGAACCATTGCAACAGAATATTTATGAGTGAGCCAGTCATACAGTTAGTTAAGTTTCTGTTAGGAGGTTATAAATAAGAACAGACGAATCAGTTGTAGGCAGTTTTTGAGAAGTGGGGAAAGGTTCAGATTAGGAGAGACCAGGACTCTCAAACATATCCTAAGTCATTCATCTTTGTATTTTGTCTACCCCAATTCAGTCTTCCTCCATATTAGGGCACGGTTGATTTTAGGGAATCTGGAGCAATAGACATTTTTTTGCTCTTCATATTTCTTCGATCCAGTTTCTATCACTTTCCAACTACAATGGCTAACTTTTGTGATATAGCTCTCACAATATTTTTCTCAATTGATATCAGAGGTTCCACCACGCCTCTCAGTTGCAAATGAGCAGCAGGAATTACAACATTCCCCCGAGACTAGTCAAGGGACTAGTGAACAGTTAACCCACATGGGTCCAAGGACAGCAAAGCATGGTGGGATGTTACAAGAATCCAATTGTAAGGTACAAGACTCAAGTCCAACATTGTTAAGTATGGGATTCTAGTGTAGGGTCTATAATGCTTTAGGCTCTGAAACTCCAACAGGTAGCTTTTCTATTGAAGTTCTCTCAAGGTTCTTATCGGACAAGAAGTGTTGCTGTATTATCCCAACGCTAACTACATTTTATTAGTTTATCAATTAGCATCGTATCAAGAATGAATGGTGACAGCAAAGAATTTAATGTGACAGAACAAAAACTTGTATGTTCACCAATTTATTTCAGTATATCCACACATTTGAAAGCTTATTTCATACATTTGTGAATTATTATTCTTGCCACTGCTACCTAAAATTTATAGATCCACCACTGCCTTCTACAGAACATATGTGCCTATCCACAACGAAAGAAAGGGGAAATTAAGGTCCATGAAATCCAATTATATAGGCTTTTATCTTCCATTATCTATTGTGGACAGGGAAGCAACATTCCAGATATGCAGTGGAGCAAACATAGTAGCCTGTTAATGTAAGACTTACAAGGGATAAAAACTAATGAATTTAACAAAAATTCTTTCAAATGCAATGTATAAAAACTTGAATTCAAACAACATAAAGAGATCTATAAGTTTCCATGTTAATATAAAATGTACTGACCTGGGTAACAAGGCTTAAAGCCAGCCCCCCTCTACCTGCTCTTGCTGTACGACCTACACGATGAATATAATCTCGTGGAAACCTGTAGATGAACGGCTGAAATTCATTTAATCAAATGCTTAAAAAATCAATTAAGAAAATATAGATATCGAATAAAAACAAAAAGTAACCTTGGGACATCATAATTGATAACAAGGTCCACTGTAGGAATATCCAATCCACGGCTCGCAACATCAGTTGCTAGCAGTATAGAAACCTTTCCTGATTTAAAATGATGAAGTGCTTCAAGCCTCTGAGCTTGTGATTTGAATGAATATAGAGCTGCAGCTTCTTGATCAAGCACTTCAAGCATTAAACTTAATCGATGACAATCTCTGCGATTTGGAAACTGTTAGAACATCTTTGAAATATTTAGAAGATAATGACACATAGTAGGTTAGAATAATTTATATTATTTCAAAAGAAAATTGTGCTACCTAATTTTTAGGGATTTTATTATTTTAGGATCCTCGTCTTATTCTAAAGGATTTTATCTTACCTTCAGTAAGTTAATCAATCCGTCATTTGATTAGGGTTACAAGTCTAGTACATAACCTAATTGCTAGCAAAAATAGGCATTGGTGCTTTATCTTTAGTTTTATGGCATCACATCATAATATACCATATAAATTTAACATCCTATTACTCTATTAAACTATTTTAGGACAACAAAATGCCCAGTAATTATCTGCTCAAGCTAAAATAATTTACCTATCAATTATTTTCAAACTTTAATGACAGGTTAAAATTATATTTAGCACACATAATAACCTAAATCTGTTTCGGCATATCAAGGGTAGAAGACAAAGTGCTTGGATTGTCAACAAAGCCCAGCCGAACATCAGTTTGGGCAGAGGGCATTAATACACAACCTGAAGACAAAGCAAGTAGTTATACAAATTATATCGTCACCTTTCATTTCTTTCATGGACACTACTTACGAATTAAGATAGAACACCTCACTGGCTTTTAAATTCAAACAAAAATTTCTATTATCATAAATTTCTGTCATCACTCAAAAGTGTACTTAAGCTATGAAGCACAGACTTTGACACTTCTAAAATATAGGACACTGTGTGTGTGTGTGTGTGTGTGTATATAAGTTCAAAAAAATATTAGAGACATTATTTTACAATCTCAGTACTTGGTTTCTTCATAAAAAGATTTCAAAAATAAGATAAAATTATACCATATTCATATTCTCAAACAAATATAGTAAATTTTATATTTTTTTTCCATGTTAATGAGCCTTCTAAAAAAATTTGAAGCATCATTTTTTAATATTTTACATTAAAATTTAAGTCGAGTTTTTTAAAAGTTAAAAAAGAAGCTTTTTTAATAATACTTGGTGTGTCCATCTATACTAAAGTATTGGCTTAGGTATCTGAGCTGTATGAAGTTGCTGGCTCAGTTGTCTAAGCCAAAAAAATAATAATTTTTTAATTGGATGCCTAAAATAAGGAATGTCTGACACATGTCGAACAAGTGTCTGAGAAGTGCCAGTTTCAGAAACATCTTCGACACTGCAACACTTCAAAAAAGAGAAGTGCTTGTGCTTCATGGTACTTAAGCATGATTCAGAACACCTATCTTGCTCTACAATTGATATGTCCTTTTCTGATTCACAAGTTAATAGATTAAGTTATGGCTGCCAGTGAAAACAATAAAAAGGTACAGATAGGTTCTAAACAATAAAAAGCCTAAATTTTCTGATCCATAATTATCAGTTTCACTTTTGCTACATTTTGGATTAACCATTGCACCTTTACTTCTTGAAATAATGATACTAAAACTGTCATAAACTATAAGTAATCTGCCTTTTATCTTTAATTAATTACAATTTATCCAGAAGAGATAAACAATACAGCATACAAAAATAGAACCAAAGGAAAATCCTACCAATTCCTCCACTATAATATGCTCCAAGCATTGAAACAGATCAAGCAAGAAACCCTCTAAAATATACATAAAATAAAGCTTTGAATCACCCATCAACTAAAACTAACAATTTCAATCCAAATATTAATGTTAAACCATAGCCTCCATTTTAGGCATGCATCCCACAAAAGTGAGAAATCCTACATATGCCCAATATCCATTCTCAAACAAGCAGAGATATACTGAAACCAATCTCTGAATCTCAAGTCCTACCATCTGCTAACTAATAAGATATGATTCTAAATTTCTAATACCAAACTGCAAGTTTGCAACACACCTTTCTAAATTTCATACACAAAGGGCATAAGACAGAACTATACCCACAGGCCACAACCAGAAGCTTTCAATTTTTGATTGTGTGTTAAATACCATATCATTCCAATATTTGATTGAGTATTTATTTATACCCCTTTATTCTTTACTGCTGGTGAAGAAGGGGGAAGTTTAAACAGAAACAAAAACAACAAAATCATATATTGAAAAAAGTAATCGAAGGTAAAAGCTTGATTAGTTAGAGACCAGTTTTCCATCCAGAAACCTGCAAGTGCAAACTTATGTAATAAACACACAGATAGGCGGGCAGGGTTGTTTAATATATTAGCTGAAAGTGGCAACCTGATCCAATATGGCATCAAAAAAGAAATAAATAAATAAAATTTAAGTACCCAGGAAGAAGAAAGATGAATAACAAACCATCATACAGACAACAAAAGTTGGAAACAAAAAATACAACAAGTCATCTAGAAAGATACCTGCAAGTTGAGATAAATATGATGGCAGACCGAATGCCCATATCTTCCATTTTAGACAAAATATGCATCAAATATACATCCTTCACCTTTTTAGGGATGAAGATAGCCTGCTGCTCGAGTGTTTCAACTGTTTTGAATCCTTCATATGCCTCATAGACATACAGCTTATCTTGATAACGTTCACGCAACTTTTGCAGATTACTTGTAGTTGTTGCAGAAAAGAACAGGTTTTGACGATTTTCTGGTAAACACTGAAAAATAAATTTTAATTCCTCCTGAAAACCAACATCCAGGACTCGATCTGCTTCATCCAAGACAAGGAACTGCAATAGCATAGGCCAAATATTAATTCATAGAATGAAGAAGGCAAGGCAATACATGATGATTGAGCATTCAGCCTGCAATTTTGAGTATATAAGCAAGATTCTAATTAATGGATAGTTTTGTTTCATTTTTGAGATATTTTAGCTTGTTTTTTGCTTGATAAAATTCTGGTTCAGAGGAGTTCTTATGAAAAGTTGCATATGGATTGGAATAGTTGGACAATTGTTGTGTTATTTCACCATTTCGGATTGCCATGCCATTTTCTTTTCACTATTTTATTTAGGGAGATTCTTTGTCCTCAGTCCTTGTACTTATTGTTTTTATCTAGTATTACATAAAAATGTTTAGATTTACTACAAAAATCTATGTTAACCTTTACTAGCTAAAAGGGTATGCAATAAGCATCAACAAATTTGCAATACAACAAAATAACTCCTGCCAAATTTGAAAAAGTATTGCCAACCCTTTAAATTTTTCATGCTTCACTTAAATTTGCTAATCACCCTTTCAGCGCAACTAGTAAACACACACACACACACACACATATGACACTTAAGCACCTATAGCAGGATGTTAGTAACAGACCCCAGTTAACAATGTTTATGTTAGAAAAGAGCAAAGAAAAGGAAGTGGGCTACGACCCAAAGGATTAGAATAGCCAGTTAATATTTGTGACAGTTGTAAATAACTGAATTTGTTACATGTAATAATAGGATGTTAATAAATAGGAAAGGGGGGGGGGAATAAGGCAGGAAAAATGTAGTTGGAACTTGGTGGGAGAGATTCAGGCTCTCGGATTCCTGAAGCATATAGGGGAGAACATTCATCTTGTTTTCTCAGAAATTTTCAATTGATTCAGTTTCTTACACAGGACCCATCAAGTCATCTCATAGAAAATTCAGCCAAAGCAGCATGTCTTTTCAGTCCAAATAATACAGGATGTCATAAGACTATTAGCATAATTTCAGAACGCCAATGGTAAGAGTTTCACGAAGTAAAACTTTAATAAATATCAGTCCAATAAGAAATAATATTCCATATGATCACTTTTCAATCAAACATTTTCTAAATACCCACACTTCTAGTATAACATTCCACCAATTTATTCAAAACTTTCTCCAGTCAACCAAATATACATTTTTTAAAACAAATTATTTTTAAAAAAAAAAAACCATTTGTCACCCCCACAGCTTACGAAGCATTTCATTCTATGGAATTGTATGAAAAAACATAAATTACAGGAAATAATCAAATTTTTTATTTTAAAACCTATTGAAAAACTAAAAAATGATTATTTGTTCTATATATGCTGATTCAAACACGTTCTAAGTCTCTTTTTATTATTTTTCCCACTCTAAAATAAAGTAATCCAACAAAGACAAATAGCATAAATCAATCACCTTCATCACCCAAATCACCAATTACTCAATTAAAATCCAGTCCATGAGCACATACAAACAAGAGCTACAACAATAACTCCAAAAAAAAAAGAAAAAAAAAACCATCATGATTATTCATAATTTAACTCCAATGAGAAGGATACTCTATGGAGGATGAAGTACAATTGTAATCATTAACTAAAAATTCATTGGTTAAAACTTTAATAATTTTATGATTTGTTGCACATGCATTTTATCACAATCTCAAGACTTGGTCTTTCAGTGCATGTTTGATTCACTTAATTTTAAAAAAATAATAATAGTTTAATCTAAATATTTTAAAAACAAACCATTATATCTCAAAATTTAAATTACACCAAACAAGCAATTAATCAATCATATTTTATCCAATTATTCATTACGTTGGTCCTGGAGAAAACAGGAGGAATATCAGGACTATCTCGGAGTAAGAGGTGGATCCTCCCGGGTGTGGCAATCACGAGGTGTGGCCTCGCCACCAATTCCTTCGCCTGTTTCAGCATGTCCATGCCGCCAACAACCACCGCGATGCGGAGGTGGAGGGAGGACCCTAGGGCGCGGAACTGCTCCGCGAGCTGAAACGCGAGCTCGCGCGTGGGCGTCACGACGAGTGCGAACACGCCGAACGGGTGCTCGGCGAGACGGTGGAGGATCGGGAGCGCGAAGGCCGCGGTCTTACCGCTCCCAGTCTCGTCAATGCCAAGCACGTGGCGGCCATCAAGGACCCTCGGAATGCACTGCGACTGCACGCGCCGCGGCTTCCGCATGCCGAGCTCCGTGCACGTCTTGACCGCCCATTCGGCGAGGCCGAGATCGTCGAACGTGGCGGTGGCAGCGTCGGCTGTGACGGTGGAGGTGGTTGTTTTGTGTGGTTCGGAGTTGGGGTTTGTGGTTGCGGCGAGGGAAGGGTTTTGTGAGGGTTTATTGCGAGTTGTTTTGAAGAGAGGGAAGTTTTGGTCTTGTAAGAGCTGTGTTTGCTCCATTGTTGAAACACTACCCTTCCTAATGTACTCCCTTCCACTTTTAATGTTTTTCGTTTTCTGTATTTTTTTTCATCAACCGAGATTTGTATTAAATGGGCCCAAAAGGCCGAGCCCAAAGGCAGAGAATATAAATTTTCAAGGATCTACGCCAGTCGGGTGAATATTTTGTTTTTGACGGGCTTTGAAGCTTACAATGGCCTTGATCTCTTTCAGATTTGTCTTTTAATGAGAGTAAATATATTGCCTTCCTCTGATAGCTACTGATAATTGATAAATTAGAGTTTCAGAGTCAAGAAAAAAAAATTTAGAGGGACATGAAATGCATTAATTAGAGCTTCTTTGTTTTCTTTTTTAAATAGAGTTTTTTGTTTTTAAAATTAAAAAACATAAAAACTTACTTGTTAATGTAAGTTTTTAAAATTATTTTTTATTTTCAGTTTTTAAAACTGAAAAACAGAATTACTATTTAGGTGTTTTTATTTTTATTTTTATTTTTTTCTTTTTAAAACTAACAAAAGTTCAACTAAAAACAGTTTAAAAACTAAATTATCAAACAAATTTTATTTTTCCTAAAAACAGTTTTATAAAATTGTTTTAAAATATAATTTTTAAAAATTAAAAATCTAAACTAAATCAAACAAGTCCTAATTATTTTAAAAAGAAAAACCATACAAATATCATCACTCTCCGCATATGCATTTAGAGAGAAAAAAGAATTTGTCAAAATTCAGAAATATAAAATCTCAAACATGTTGAGTCAGTCATACACTTAACATATTCTATTCAAGAACTAAAAGACTCTCTGCATACATAAGAACTGAAATTTATAGTATAATATTTTAAAAATTAATGAGAAAATATAAGTTCCTGTTGAAATTTTTAGTTTAATTGATTATGTCCACAGAGGCAGGTAAGATTTAAGGAAAATAAAACTGATCAAGTATAGAAGTAACTAATAATTAGTATACTAGTATATACTTGGCATATTATATGAATTATTTTAAATAAAAAGAAAATATTAAAAATATAAATAGCATTAATTTAATTAATATTTTTTATAATAAATAAATTAAAATATAAAATTACATGTTAACAGAATTCTTAGTTTTAGAAAATCTTTAAATTGATTTAATTGAGAAAAAAATATTTCTCTGCCAATATACAAATGTTTCATTATTATACATAATGCTGATTAAAAAATTAATAAAAGTAAAAGTCCTCTTTAATTGAATAATTAATTAATGAGTAAAGAAAGTGCTGATTTGATATGAAGTTTATAAGATATACATAAAATGAAAAGGACGTGCAATTAAGTGAAAAGAAAAATATTTAGAGAGATTATTTCACTTTCAAAAGTACCAACTTAAGTATATAAAATAAAAACATATGAAGTAGAGAAGAAGATTTGGTAAAAGTCTTCACAATTAATTTTAAAAAAATGGTCTAATCTTTCATAAATAGATGCACTTCAACTAACTCTTCTACCATCTTCCTTTTCTAAGTCTTGTATACTAAAAAACTACTTTCCTCAAACATGCATAAACTTGTATTCTTCTATTTTGCAATATTATGTTCCCTTTTAACTTTGTTCTTTGTTTCTGCTCATAAAAGCCAATATGGTATTAGCATTGATCTTATTCACCGTGACTCACCTTTGTCTCCTTTTCACAACTCTTCAATGACCCCATCAGAGTCCATAAAAAATGCTGCCTTACGCTCCATGTCAAGATCCAATCGTGTTCTTTTATCTCTAGATGCAAATACAACACTTGGAAGCACCATAGTTCCTGATATGGAAGGTGGTGAATATCTCATGAAATTTTATATTGGTACCCCTCTTGTAGAAAGGCTTGCATTTTTAGACACAGGAAGTGATCTTATATGGGTACAATGCTACCCTTGTGTGAGTTGTTTTGCACAAAATTCTCCAATCTTTGATCCCAAAAATTCTTCTACTTTCAAGAGCTTATCATGTGACACAAATGCTTGCACTTTCCTTTCCCATCAATGTGGGAATTCAAGGGAGTGCAATTACTTTTACTCATATGGGGACAATTCATCCACTAGTGGTCACCTGGGTATTGAAACCATTGCTTTTGAAAACATTACAATTCCTGATTTTGTTTTTGGGTGTGGACTTAATAATAGTTTTGCATTCAAAAATGAAAACAAAACAACAGGAATTGTTGGTCTTGGTGGTGGTCCATTGTCATTAATTTCACAAGTAGGTTCTGAAATTGGTTTCATATTTTCCTATTGCTTGCTTCCTCCCTCTGAGAATTCCACTAGCAAATTAAAAATTGGGAATGATGCAATTATATCTGGAAAAGGGGTTGTGTCCACTCCCCTTATAACCAATTCTTCTACACCTACCTATTACTATGTCAATCTTAAAGGTATCACTGTTGGACAAAAAACAGTGGAAACAGGTGAAAGTGGTGGTAACATAATCATTGACTCAGGTACTACATTGACATATCTCAAACCAAGTTTCTACAATAATTTTGTAGTTTTAGTGAAGGAAGCCATTGGTGTTGACACAATCCAAAATCCACCTTCTCCATACAACTTCTGCTTTATTAATAAAGCAAACATGAACTTCCCTAGTTTTGAGTTTCATTTTGATGGAGCTAGTGTTCCCTTGGATGCTACTAAGAATCTCTTTACTATTATCAATGACTTGTATTGCTTGGAAGTTGTACCCTTCAACACTGACAATATTGGACTTGCTATATTTGGAAACAAGGCACAGATTGATATTCAAGTAGGGTTTGATCTTGAAGGGAAAAAAGTTTCTTTTGCTCCAACTGATTGTACTAAGATATAGCTTTATATTTTCGTTTAATTGATTCGGTAAATTGTAACCTTGTAAATATCTAATTAGGCTTGTGTTGTGGTGTGAAATAAATGAAGAAGGTTTCTGGTTTCTATATTGGATTTCTTCACACAGTTGACACAACTCACCACTACAATTAATTTTTCCCTCAGAAAACAAGTTTTTTTGATAAAACATTTTTCTTATTTTTCTAACATTAATTTAACCTTCAAAAATTATTTCAATTAATTAGTTTAATCTCAATGGTAATTATTTTTTTTAATTTGTGCAAATGAATATAAACCAATCAAACTGTTCAGATGAATCAATTAAAGCAATTCCCTCGCTTCAATAAGTATAACATTAATTGTAATCGTTTTAATTTGGAAAATAAATTTAAAAAAAAAAAACAGATGAATCAAACTGTACGAATCAATTTTTTAAGTTCAATTAAACAAATTCCAGCTAATCAACTCAAACTTCTAATCATGTGAGACTCTGCTAAATTATAAATGGTCTCTTTACGACCAAATTAAGGAAACTTTGGCTAAATTTTGCAATGGAATAGAAAATCTTTGGATTCTTCAATCTATATAATTAAAAGGTTTAAATTTCTAATATTTGCTTTGGGAAATCTTTGAGTGATTTAGACTGAATTTATTTGTGTATTAATTCCTTTAGGGTGCACATCAAAGGTTATATATCAATCATATTTAAATAATAGATATTGTCAAATGAGGAAGAACTTAGAAAATTCGATGCTGACATCTCCAGCTATTCAGGTCAACATTCTGCAGTACAAACATGTAGAACTATGAATAAGAAAATATGTTAAACCAAATTTCATTTTGTAAACAGAAAGGAGGAGGACCATGCACCTTGTTTCATCTAATCCCTGACTTATAGAAAATAAATATTCTATTTATATAATATCCAACTCAATAATAAACTCCCTAAATTCAAAATAAATGAATAATATGTGTAAGGGAGATGTGCAATAGTGTTTTTTTTTTTAACATATAGGGAGTAAAAATTTAGGCATTGATAGTGGGTGTAGTTTAGGTGAATTTAACTATTCAAAAGTAGTAAACTTTTATTTCAAAAAGATATTCATTATACTTTGGTATCTCTAATATAATAATTTTTTTTGAATAAAGATTCATTACCTTATACTTGTCTACATGTGACACTTTCTTGGAAAAATCGAGGAAATGACCAAGTCTATTTTAGTACACAATTTTTATTTTTTTGCTTTATCTCATGTTTCATAATGTTAAATATTTTATGATTGTTGTCAGAAGACTTTGTGTTCTTGTAGAATATATCTTTGAAATAAGTATGGGATCTGCGTGACTTGTGAATGACAGATTTAAGTTGAATCCATTGCCTCTTTTGGTTTTTCCCTACATTTGTGCTTAGTCTAATGATATGAAGTAGACTGAACTTTTTGTTATAGCTAATAACTTTGAATGGTGCGTGCATATGTTGGCATGAATTTTTCTTTTCTCTTTTGGTGAAAGTTTGCAGTATGGGAAGTGAATAGTGTAGAGGAATAGAATGAATTGAAATGAATCTTAGTTATTAAAACTATCATAGCAAGCAAAATGACCCAGTTCAGGAGTTTCTGGTATTTTGATTATTTGATTGTTTGATTTGGAACCAATACATGTGGCCAGACTCCAATATGATTTAATCATGTTCTCTTTTCCTTAGTTTTCATTCTCAATGTGATTTAATAAAAAAAATATATGAAATATATTTGTCAGTTCTCAAAGCAGGGTAAAACCTTTTTCTAAACAAAAAGGCAAAGATTAAGAGGAGTTTGAAATTTAAATCTCAAATTTTTTTAAATTACAAAAATAAAATACAAATTTAATAGATCTTTTTCTAATAAAAAAACACTAAACTTAATAGGTTTGAAGAGTTTAGAATTAAAATATTTTAAACTTGGGCAATCACTTTTGAAATGTACACAATATCCAAATATCCAAATTCTAGTGATGATTATTCAAGGTAGAACTAAAAGCACGAAGAATAAAAGATATCAACAATACATAAATTACAAAAATAAAATAAAAATTTCATAAATCTTTTTCTAATAAAAAAAATATCAAGCCTAAGAGCTGATATTTAAATCTCAAGTTTTGCTAAATTACAAAAATAAAATCTAAATTTAATAGGCTTTTTTCTAATAAAAAAATGTCAAGCCTAACAAGTTGAAAGACTTTGGAATTTGAATATCTTACATATATGTAATAATTATTTAATGTAAGACTAAAAGCACGTAAAATGTATAGTATAAGAATTTTTTTATATTACAAAAAAAATAAACATTTAATGGGTCTTTTCTAATAAAAAAAACTGTCAAGCTTAAGAGGAGTGTAGAATCAAAATCTCAAATTTTTATAAATTATAAAATTAAAATACAAATTTAATGGACCTTTTTTTAAGAAAAATTTAATAGAGGAGTCTAAAAGGTTTGAGTGCTTTGAAATTTTAATCTCTTAAACTTAGCTAACAACTTTTAAACGTCAACAATATATAAATTTTACATATATAATAATTATTCAACATGCTACTAATAGCTATAAAATGCATAGTATGAGAGTTTTTCTAAATCACAAAAAAAATAAAAAATTGGGTTATTTTCTAGTAAAAAAAATATCAAACCTAAGAGGAGTTTAAAATTTAAATCTTGAGTTTTTCTATATTTCAAAAAATAAAATACAAATTTACAAATTTAATGGACTTTTTTCAAATAAAAAAATATCAAGGGCATTAGAATTTAAATTTCTTAAATTTGGCCAATTACTTTGAGACTTCAACAATATATATATTCTACATATAGGTGATAATTATTCAATGTGGGACTAAACGAACAAAAAATACATAGTATGAGAGTTTTTCTAAATGATAAAAAAAAATAAAAAATTTATAGGGTCTTTTTCTATTAAAAAAACATCAAGCTTAACAGGAGTTTGCCATTTGAATCTTGAGTTTTTATAAATTACAAAAATAAAATACAAATTTAACAAGTCTTTTTCTAATAAAAAAAAATGCTAAGCTTAACGGGTTTGAAGATTTTGAAATTTGAATATTTTAAACTTAGCCAATCACTTTGAGTCATCAACAATATATAAATCCTACATATATATGATAATTATTCAATGTGAGACTAAAAACACAAATAATACATAGCATAAGAGAGAATTTGGAATTTGAGTCTCGAGCTTTTCTAAATTACAAAAATAAAATACAAATTTAATGAGCTTTTTTCTGATAAAAAGGAGTCAAGTCTAACACGTTTGAGTGCTTTTAATTTTAATCTCTTAAACTTAGTCAATCACTTTGAGATGACAACAATATATAAATTCTACATATATGTAATAATTATTCAATTTTAAAAGCTGGTAGAATACATAGTATGACAATTTTTTTAAATTACAAAATAAATAAAAATTTATTGGGTCTTTTTCTAATAAAAAACGCCAAGCCCATGAGAAGTTTGGAATTTGAATCTCGAGTTTTTCTAAATTATAAAAATAAAATACAAATTTAATAGGTCTTTTTCTAATAAAAAGGATAAGTATAACAGGTTAGACTGCTTTCAAATTTTAATCTCTTAAGCTTGGTAAATCACTTTGAAACGTCAACAATAAATAAATTCTACATATATGTGATAATTATTTAATGTGCAACTAAAAGCTCATAGATGTATAGTATGAGAGTTTTTCTAAATTATAAAAAAACAAGAAATTATTGAATGTTTTTCTAATAAAAAAACGTCAAGCCTAAAAGGAATTTGGAATTTGAATCTCAAGTTTTTTTAAATTTTAAAAATAAAATACAAATTTTCAAATTTAATTGGCCTTTTTATCATAAAAAAATGTCAATCCTAACAAGTTTGGAGACTTTGGAATTCAAATCTCCTAGACCTAGTAAATCACTTTTAGACTTCAACAATATATAAATTCTACATATATGTAATAATTTTTCAATATAGGACTAAAAGAAAGTAGAAACGCATAGTATGAGAGTTTTTCTAAATTACAAAAACTAAATAAAAATTTATAAAGTCTTTTTCTAATAAAAAAAATGTCAAGCCTAAAAGGAGTTTAACATTTGAATCTCAAGTCTTTATAAATTATAAAAATAAAATAATAATTTAATGAGCTTTTTTCTAATAAAAAAAACTTAGCCAATCACTTTGAGACATCAACAATATATAAATTTTACATATATGTGATAATTATTCAACATGAAACTAAAAACACAAAGAACACATAGTATAAGAGGAATTTTGAATTTGACTCGAGTTTTTCTAAATTACAAAAAAAAAATAGAAATTCACAAATTTAATAGGTCTTTTTTAATAAAAATGTACTAAGTCTAAAAGAATACAAATTCTACATATAAGTGATAATTATTCAATGTAGGACCAAAAGAACAAAATATACATAGTATGAGAGTTTTTCTAAATGATTAAAAAATAAAAAATTAATTGTCCTTTTCTAATAACAAAACACCAAGCCTAATAGGAGTTTAGAATTTCAATCTCAAGTTTTTCTAAATTACAAAAATAAAAACAAATTTAATGGATATTTTTTTAATAAAAATGCGCTTAGCCTAAGAGGAGTTTGGAATTTATATCTTGAGTTTTTCTAAATTACAAAAATAAAACACAAATTCACAAATTTAATGGATATTTTTCTAATAAAAATGTGCTAAGTCTAAAAAGTTTGAGTGGTTTAGAATTTTAATCTCTTAAACTTAGCCAATCACTTTAAGAGATTAATAATATATAAATTCTACGTATATGTGATAATTATTCAATGTGAGACTAATAGCTCGTAGAATACATAGTACGAGAGTTTGAAATTCGAATCTTAAGTTTTTCTAAATTCCAAAAATAAAATACAAATTTATAAATTTAATGAGTTTTTTTCTAATAAAAAATGTCAAGCCTAAGAGGAGTTTGAAATATTAATCTTGAGTTTTTCTAAATTAAAAAA